ATTATTTATGAATTAATAGATTTTATTTAATTTCCATTTGAGATTTACTTACCAAATAAGCTTTACTACAAAAGTTTGGGGGGAAAAATGGATTAGGATTATTTTATTTTTAATTATATATAGATAAATTGATTCTATTTCATTTTTTAAACAAAATATTCCTTAAAGATTAATAGAAAAATGAAGCTAACTTATTAATAACCGATTCTATTACATTTTTTTACGCAGAATTTTTCTTAAAGATTAATATAGTAAAATAAGGCTCAATTTTTATGCAAAATCTGTCCTAAAAGATTAATAGTATCTTAATGATTCTTTTTCTTATACTGCTTATTGATTCTTTTCCATTGTTCAGAGTGTAGAAAAAATTCACATGGCTAACATTTTCTTCCATTCATTTATATTTTTCCATATTATTATTAATTTCCTTCCCAATATTATTCTATATTGTTTTGGCGTACGACTTCCTTCCATTCATTTCTATTTTTTCATATTATTATTATTTTTTTAGACGGGAACTTGTAAATGAGGATATTGTTTTTATTAATTAATATAGAATATAGATTACCAATTAAAATTAAAGTTTTTTTTTTTGAAAGTTACTGGCTCTATTACATTGTAGTATCTGTTCATATACTTTCTCAACCTACTGAAACACAAAGAACCAATAACGCCTCCATTGAGGCTCGAACTTATAATCTTCCAAATGGAAGTCCAACTCGGATACCATTGGACCACATAAATATTAAAGTTTTTATTATAATTGAACAATAATATTACCAATTATTATTTGAAAATTTTGTAAAACAGTAAGTAAAATTGTATTACGGATAGGAAAATATATGTACTTTAATTTAAATTTAAATTATTAACAATTAATTCTATTTTATTTTTTAACAAAATCTTCCTTAAAGATTAATAGTAAAATAAAGCTAAATTATTAATAACCCATTCTATTACATTTTTTACACAGAATTTTTCTTAAAGATTAATGTAGTAAAATTAAGCTAAATTATTAATAATCGAATTTATTACATTTTTTTACGCAGAATTTTTCATAAAGATTAATAGTAAAATAAGACTAAATTAGTAATAACCAATTCGTTTTCTATTTTTTTACGCAAAATCTTCCGTAAAAGATTAATAGTAAAATATCTTAATGAATATTTTCCTTATACTGCTTATTGATTCTTTTTCATTTTTCAGAGTGTAGAAAACATTCACATGAATAATATTTCATTCCATTATTTTCCATATTTACATATTATTATTAATTTTCTTTCCAATATTATTATTAATTGTTTGGGGGTACGACTTCCTTCCATTCTTTTTCATTTTTTTCATATTATTATTAATTGTTTAGGCGGGAGCTTTTAAAGGATGTTTTTTTTATTAATTAATATAGAATATAAATATAGATTAATATAGAATATACATTACCAATTAAAATAAGTTTTTTTTTTTAAAAAAATATTATATTGAACAATAATATTACCAATTATTATTATTATTATTATTATTATTATTATTATTATTATTATTATTATTATTATTGGTTCACATAGTTGAATTATTTATTTTTTATTTAATTATTATAAACATAAATAATATTTTACTAATTAATTTATGATATTTATCAAATTGTATTTTTTAAATATAGTGTTTTATCCATGCATTGCACGGAATTTTATTTTTGTTATTATGAATTTAAAATAAAAATAGAAAAAATAAAAAGATGTTAAAATGTACAATATAATAATATAGTTGGACTTTTATATATTTAGTCAAGTATCTATTTCATAACATACAAAATTTAAATTTAAATTTTGTATGGTTAATATATTCTCTAATCATGTACATATTTAGATAAATTTATAGAAAAAATTCATATAATTAAGTTGATTTATTCCAAATTGTATTTCATATGTATATATGAAATTTAAAAATATGAATAATAAAAACTAAGAGAATTGTACTTAGAAATCAATAAAAAAATGTAAATTCTAAATTTTGTATGAATAAATAAATATTCTAATCGGACGCATATCCTTATATGATTGTATAATACTTTGTATATACACATAATATTTATTTATATGTATATAGGAAAATCCTATAATATAATTTCATTAATTATAATTTATATTGATAGATTTATACTTAAAAATTTATATTTAGAAATTTAAAGAGTATATGTATGTATATTTAAAAAAAATATAAATATTCATGTTTTGTTAATTTTATAATTTCATTTCTTTAATTATATTTCATATTTTATTAATTATAATTTAATGAAAGTGTCACAAATATGTCTACGGAAGAAATCATATATTTCTGAATTTCATTAATTATATTAATTATTATTACCAAATATTGTGGCAATTACCACAATAATTTCATTAATTATAATATTTGTTTTCTTCCAATATTTAAATACATTACCATAAAATTACCATAATAATAACACAAAAGAAGGAAAGAAAAATTATGAGAATAATCTATATCTATATATAATTAAAAGTAAAGTCCTCCTAACCAAGTTTATCCCCAAAACTTAGGGGCATATATATATAAATTGCATATTTACCATATATGCATATTTTGTGTCTATATAGTATAATTTTTGGTATCAAACATTTGAATGGTAATAAACGGGGGAAAATGTCAACATACAAATGATAATTCTTTCATTACTATACTAATTTTAATGGTAATTCATTAATTACTATATTTCACGATGAGTCAGCCTGTTCATGCCCATCATTTTTCAAGAAACACAAAAATGAAATAGTCAATTATTAAAATTGTTTATGATTTCATTTTTAATTTTTGTCTAAAGTTAAAGATATATATTATCGGCGATTATAACATTTTTTGTATTAACTGAAAATTTGAAAGTTTTACCTTTTTTGAGATCTCTTACCATTTTATAATTTCAATATTATGCGATTTTGAACTCATCCATGGTGTACAAATACACTCTATATGACCATACAAAATCCATTGAGGAGACATTTGTACTGAAGAGTAAACTTCTCCTTAAACTAAATTCGGGTGTCAAGAAAATCTCCGTTTTCATTCATAATGATATTCCTATTTCTGAGTCTCTCATCACTGTTCGGTACATCAATCATGTCTAGATTTCTGGGTCTTCCATTGTTCCCTTTGATCCTTATGATTGTGCCATTGCCAGTATTTTTTATTTGGGTTCAGTACAACGTGGATTTTTTTGGGAGGTTTCTCTAATTAAATTTTTGGTTAAAAATTTATATTTCCTTTGTATTTTATTTTATTACTTTTTTTATTTATTTATACTAATATGTGAATGGAGTAACACAAAATCTGAAATTGTATTTGTTATTTATTTCTTCTTTTTAAATAATCATTATTTTTGTGTTTTACAAAAATTTAGAAAAAATCAAATATAGCGAGATTTTTAATAGGTTAAACAAACACTCTACTCAAATGATATATATAAAAATGCTATGAAATGTTGTAAAATGAACTCTGCTTGGTAAAAAAAAAAAACATAGAAACTTGAATGACATGTACAAATCTCGAAGTCAACATACTAACTCTAAGTTTCAGAAAATCTTACAAAATTATCAAATTACCGTCTTTATCATCCTCGATCGCATCTCTACAATCTTCCATAAAAACTAAACCAATAGAGTTCTGTTACAAATGCTCTTCCTCCTCAATTTCCTTTTGTTGAAGCAGAGCCTCCTTAAGTATCTTCAAACTCATACCAGATGATATAAACTGCAAAACATATTGAAGTATGTGAGAATATAGTTAGAAAAATGTAGAAAATTCATACAAAAAGAAAGTAGAGAGATGAGTCTGAGATTCTTTGATTGAAGAAGCCATTGTATTTATAGGTAGAAAATACTAATTCAAAAGGAAAGTATAATAATTTATTTATTTAAGGGAAAGTATAATAATTTATTTATTTAAGATAATAACATTATTATTATTATTATTATTATTATTATTATTATTATTATTATTATTATTATTATTATTATTATTATTATTTATTTATTTATTTATTTATTTATTTTCCATTTGACATTTACTTACCAAATAAGTTTTACTACAAAAGTTTTGGGGGGAAAATTTATTAGGAGGATTTTACTTTTATATATATATAGATATAGATATATAGATTTATTTATTTATTTTCCATTTGACATTTACTTACCAAATAAGTTTTACTACAAAAGTTTTGGGGGGAAAATTTGTTAGGAGGATTTTACTTTTATATATATATAGATATAGATTTAAATAAACTTACAATGGAGGTATGACTACGGGTGGCGGGTTATACGAGTGTGCCTGCGAGTTACATAGGTCATGAGACCAACCTGTATAGCACAGGTACCCCTTAGGGGCTAAGCGGGACGATCCATTTGGATCGGATTGGAGAAATATACACTCAACATGCCTAAATAAAGGCTAAACGAGCTCAACTCGACAAATCAGGATTGTTTTTATAGCTCTAAATATAAGTACTCACTTTCAGTTTTTAATTTTAGTTTAGCTATTTCAGTCCGTCCGATTAGCCTGACAATCCGAAATTTAAGGCTAAAATCAAATCAAATTCAAAAATAAAATAATAAAATAAACAATTAGTCCAAACCAATTAGCCCAATAATTCAGAAGTAGCCCAAAACTGAGCGAGCTGGCCGATTGACATCCCTAATTTAAATGATACTTTTCTACTCCGTACTTTTCTTTAGATTCCAGAAGCTGCAAATTCAAGGGTGACGTCAGCAACCCACACTTTTTATTCCCTCACCTTTTTTAAATGGAATATCGCTCCGACCGTCCGATGAAATAGTCGGCCAAACGAACGGCATAGACGGAAGTCCACCTGAATAAGACATATGGATACACGTGTTCTCACATGATTGGTCGCCGAAGAAAAATATTTAATGGGGCTTATTTCGGTAAAAATAAGAAATTCCATCCATCCAATTAAAAAACAAATAATAAGCTAATAATCATCACCATCACGGTAACAGAAAAGCAAGAATTTCTCTGTGCGATCACACGCACACCCGCACTAGAGAGAGAACTCGATTCGATTATTATTAAATTATTGGTTTGACGATTTGGTTATCTCCGCCGTGATCTCGCCGGAGCAGTTAGGCGGTGATAAGAGAGATTTTGGTTGATCTCCGAGGACGACTTTGCTAGGGTTTCGAAGATGGTGAATTCCATGGTTGAGAGAGCGACGAGCGACATGCTCATCGGCCCCGATTGGGCCATGAACATCGAGATCTGTGACATTTGCAATCACGACCCAGCGTATGCACCCATCTTTCTCTCGTGTCTGTGCTTTTTCAACTTTATTTTCATTGCCGCGTGTAGGTAGCACAACGAGATATTGGATTAGCTTCTAAATTTTGACATTTGGTTTGTTGAATCCGAGTAATTTGAAATTAGGATTAAATCAACTTTTGAATAGTTTAGTGCTAGTGGAATTGAAAGGACTAGTAATATGTTGAATGAATTTTGGAGTTGAATGTGGTCTTCTGTGGGAGGGTAGGTTGGTACGAATAGTTTGCTCATTTTCTAGACTTCATTAGCAAAGAAGCTTGATCCCAGAGGAGGAGGATATTTTCTGTTTTCTGGTAAGATTGAGGTTCTTTGTCATGTTCATATCTCGGAGCTGGATAGGTTCTTCCTTGAAAGCTGATTCTGGGAGATTGGAATTGGTTCCTGGCTAACTTGTCCTGGAGGTTTTAGGGTTTACACAATAGAATGTTCCATGAGCTGTAAGAGAGGGCATTGATACTTTATAAGATGTGTGTCACATTTGGCAGTTTTTTTTTTTGGATTGGTAAGTTCATACTTCTCAACCCAGAAAAATTATAAAATAAAATAAAATCCATTTGTTGCCCTTGTGCTCAAAAGGCAAATAGTTTGGTCTTGGCAGAATAAGGCTATTTTCCATGTTTTAGTCACATAATTCAATTTTATGAAAATTGAAGAATACCTCACAAGTTGGCACCAGCTATTTTCAAATAATTTACATAATCGGGAAAAACAGAGACTTATATTACATACAATTAATATTAGATTCATTGGTAGCAGCAACTATTTTCAAAGAAGTCACACAATCTGAAAATTTATGATGTGGTTAATAGGATTAGTATTTTGCTTATAGATGACAAGAAATAATTTTTGTCAAGTGTAAAACTGTCTCTCAAACATATAGGGACTTCCACTATTAATTAATCTAATATATATCTGAAACTAGATGGTTCTGAATGACACTGCCAGAATGCTGGATAGGTAAAATTTTTCCTACTTTTTCTATATGGATTTTGCAAAGTGGCATTGATATATTCTTACCTTGTGTTTTTGCTCTTCTTTTCTGGATTTGATGGGGGTGAGAGTTGTCTAGATTTGGTAGTTGATTAATTTGTTATTTAACCAGTTGGTTGCATTCGTTATCATTGTTTGGCTTGATGCCCACTTACCAGGCAAGCAAAGGATATTGTGAAAGGCATTAAGAAACGACTTGGCAGTAAGAATTCAAAAGTTCAGCTTCTTGCATTAACTGTAAGTGTGAGCAACTCTATGCAAATTGTAGTTCTCTCTTTATCAATTTTTTTTAAATAGATTTTTTTACCCAATTTACCCCTTTCAACTACTGAAAGTTTTGAATGATCGCTTGAAACCAAGCATGTTTTGCTTCTGAACTTATCTACTTGAAAACTGCTCTGGTGCATTATTATTTTTATTATGGATGTAATTCTGGCTTTTGCCTATAGGGATGTAAATAGTGTATGATGAATCTGGTGAAAGTTTGGTGACATAAATACGTATAGGATTTATTGACTTATATATATTTTCCAAGGTTCATTTTAAATTTCTGATATGTGAATCTGATGTCAACTTCTTTGTTTTCTTTATTTTGCTTTTGCACAGCAAATAGAGTAGGCTTTTCTAGGATAAATCTTGAGCTTTGTGGCCTTTTTCAAGAATATGAGTGTGGTGTGTTTTGATTCTGAGATAAATTGAACTACTTTCAGTATGTGGATGGACCATAGTTGCCAATGACTTGATTACTGTGGCCTTAAAAAAGGCTGCAGTTTCATGCATGTCTCATAATGTTATAAGAATCATTTAAAAAAACATATTCTTTATGTAATTTGTGATGAACTCTAATTAAAAAAAAAATCTAAAACATGTATCCTATTCTTTTTGGTAAATCTCCCCTATGGCCTATCAGTTTGCTTTAAAAATCTGGAATTTTCTTTTATTTTGATTTTGATTAGCTTGTTTTACAATTTTCTAGCTTCTGGAGACAATTGTGAAGAATTGTGGAGACATTGTCCATATGCATGTAGCAGAAAAAGATGTTCTTCATGAGATGGTGAAAATTGTGAAGAAGAAGGTTATATTTTGTACTCAGTATTCTGGTCTTTCTAGTTGACAATTTGGTATTACTAATAGCTTAACAAAAGTTTAAAAACAACAATACTAATATACTAATATACCATTTTGCAATTGTAGCCTGACTTTCATGTCAAAGAAAAGATATTGATCTTAATAGATACATGGCAAGAAGCTTTTGGAGGAGCAAGAGCCAGGCATCCCCAATATTTTGCTGCTTACCAGGAGTTGTTGGTAAGTTGCACAGAGAACTATCTTCTCATTCCTACTTCTATATGATACATGAGTTTACATTTGAAAATAAATGCATAGAATTTACATATATGTACTTTGAGAACTTTGCTTAACCTTTCAGCGAATGGGAGCAGTGTTTCCTCAGAGGTCTGAGAGGTCTGCACCTGTTTTCACTCCACCACAATCCCATCCATTGGCTTCTTATCCTCAAAATGTCCGTAACCCTGAATCTAGAGAAGATGCAGCTGAGCCTTCAACAGAGGCTGAATTTCCAACTTTGAGGTAGATTTCAGCTCATTATGTAGGCTGCTTACTTTCCTGTGGATTGATTCAATTTTCTACGTTTCATGCTTCTAGAATGTGTTGCAAAACTACTTTATTTTTTTTTTGATGAGTCAATTCTTAAAGACAATTTTAGGGCTGGACCGCTGGAGTAGATTTTAATTTTCTCCCCCTTTCCCCTTTTCACTGTCTTATTTTGCTTCTAGAAGGTAACCAATTATACAGAGCATCTTTAAAATTTATGTAATGTAATCCATTGTGTTTTGGTTGTTGGGCTGTTTTTTTTTGGGTGGGAGGTGTTACGATGAAAAGAATTCTCCACCTTTTGCTGTGAGTTTCAACTAAGGACTCTATCACCCAGTCAAAAAATCCTTTTTCACTAGATGTTATGACATCGGTAGTAATTTATTTGTTTTATTTCTTATATTTTCGCTTTGTGTTGCTAGCTTGTCAGAAATCCAGAATGCACGTGGTATCATGGATGTTCTTGCAGAAATGCTTAGTGCACTGGATCCTGGTAACAAAGAGGTATTATTCTTATTAATGTTATAGAGGAGGGTCTGGTTTACACTGGTGCTGATGTGCTGCCTGTGCTTTAATAAAGTCAGCTATTTCTGATATTAACATCATGAAGTAGTTTATGTCAGATTAGCAATGGGCTATAATGCTCATAGTTGGGTGCTGAGCATCTGTAATTGAACTTATTCCACTAATGGGATGTTTTTCAACTTGATTGGTTTCTACAAATATTGCCCCTGTTTTGACACTGAAAGAAGTCAAAGAACTTATCTCTGCATCTTGAACATTCTTGATTGACAGGGGCTCAAGCAAGAGGTTATTGTTGATCTGGTGGAACAATGTCGTACATACAAGCAAAGAGTTGTTCACCTTGTAAACTCAACTTCGTAAGGCTCCACATAACTTAATCACTTTCAGTACATCATTTCTTGATATCATGAATTGCTTGCTAAATTTTACTTTTGATTATTTATTTTTGTGGAGTAGAAAACAAAAAAATTTATTGTCAATAATGTGCCATTTTGAAAAATTCTATGTTGCTCACAGTTGAGAGAACTATTAACTTAAATCTGAAGTTTTCTAGGATTTGAAATTTTTTTAATCTGGATTTAGTTGCATCTATGTGTGCAGTAATTATCAGTGAAGGAGTCAGTGGGAAGCCATGAAGTCTCTTTGTGGTCGTTCATTTTCTTTCCTACTTATTCACACTCAAAATCTTAATTAATTATCCCAGCAGGGTAGAGCATTTCCATAAAAGTAATTAAATAAGTAGCCATCTCCACTGCAATTATACCTGTGACTCTGTGAGGTTGTCTTTGGCTAAAAGGAACAGATATTGATAAAGTCCTTGCTTTCTGTTCTCAAACTGTGCTACTGACCAGCAAATTCCTTTGTGACTTAAATTTACTTCATGCAGGGATGAATCGCTTTTATGTCAAGGACTAACACTAAATGATGACTTGCAACGTGTCCTTGCCAAACATGAAGCCATTGCATCTGGAGCTTCTCCTGCTCAAGCAGAGAAATTAAAACAAGCTGAACCTGCTAAAGGGCTCCTGAATGTTGATGCTCCTCTTATTGATACTGGAGACAAGCAGACTGACCAAGGGTAAATAAGTTATCTGTAGCCATTGTCTTTATTGTTGGATAATTACAAAATTTGCTTCTGTGTAAGTTGCTTTGTGAATATTGAATATTAATTTGTATTCCCTTGGAACCTTAACACCAACAATTTTTTTTTTTTTCAAATTCCTTGCCCTCTAAGTTGATCACTTAATGATTTTTGATTTCCATCTCTTTTACAGTTCTACATCAAGTGCTAGTTTGGGGACACAGTTGCTACTTCCTGCTCCTCCATCAGCTAATGGTCAATCTACAACTCCGACAAAAGCTGGTCCTAAGATGGATCTTTTGAGTGGAGATGACTTTGGTTCACCCGCAGCAGAGGATTCATTAGCACTTGTTCCAGTTGGTGTGGTAGAAGCTCAGCCGGCTAATCAAGTTCCTCAACAGAATGCCCTTGCTCTCGTGGATATGTTTTCAGAAACCACTAATCCTCAGTCTACATATACAGTTGGCCAAACACACCCCTCATCCTCTCAATTTCCTCAGCAACAGAACTTTCAATCCCCACAGCAATCTTTTTACACTAATGGAACTGCATCTGGAACAATGTTACCGCAACAAGAAAAGTCTCCATACCTTCAAGGGTCTAATACTGCTTGGAATGGCCAGATGACCCAGCAACCGCAACCGCAGCCACAGCCACAGCAGCCATCTCCAGTTTATGGTGCACTTCTTTTTATGTTTTAATGGTTCCATTCAATAGGGAGTTCTTGAAATCCATCTATTTAAGCATTTTGGGTCCCTGTCTAATCTTTAAAATGCTGCTTAATTTCTGGGCAGGTGCTGAAACGACTGGTGCACTACCCCCTCCTCCCTGGGAAGCGGAGGCAACGAATGATGGTGAAATGAGTGGTAGTCCACTTACACAAACAGTTCAAAATAATCAGGCTTTTGGAGGTAGTCCTCATGCTCTACCAACGCAAAACAATCAATTTGTTGGTAGTAGTCCACATGCTTTACAAATGCAAAACAATCAATTTGTTGGTAGTAGTCCACAAGCTTTACAAATGCAAAACAATCAGTTGGGAGGTAGTCCAACAATACAAAATACTCAGTTGGGCAGTAGTCTACAACCTACTGTACCGATGCAAAATGCTTATGGTTTCCAATCTTATGGCAAAGAGCAAGTTGGTGGTATGTATGCTCAGCCCATGACTGGTGCCAATCCTGTCATGAATAGCCACGGTATGCAAAGCAATCAGATGGCAGGTTTTCATCCTCAGCCAATTCAAGGTGGGCAATCAATGGGTATGTTTCCACAACAAATGCCATCTGGCCAAATGGCTTATATGTATCCACAGCAGATGTATAGCAACCAAATGACTGGGTATGGATATGGCTATGGTTATGGTCAGCAACAAAATAATCAGTTCCTTGAACAAAGAATGTCCGGGTTATCTGTCAGGGATGATGGCGTCCTTAAGAGTTCGTCCTATCAACTTTCTACTCCGTCGTATGTGCCACCTGGGAAACCCTCAAAGCCAGAAGACAAACTATTTGGAGACCTTGTTGACATATCCAAATTTAAACCCGCAAAAGGTCCTTCTGGCAGAGCTGGGAGCATGTGACAGTGACACTTCTGTATTCAATACTCTTTTTCAACCTTTTCTTATTGTAACCTGATCAAAGATTCCTTTTTTTGTTTTTTGAAATATTTGGTCATGTTTATTTTTGTTTTTATACATTGTTTATTTTTACTCTTTATGAGGTTGCTTTTTCTCATTGATTGTACATTTGCTATAGAGTAGAGAAATGAGATTCCCAAGGATTGAAAAAAATGTTTAAAAGACCTCTGTTTGGTAGCTTTGATTGATATATGGAAGGTTTTTCTTTATAATAGCAGATATATGTTGAGTGATTGTAATTCAATTTTATGTTAAAAGAAATACTCTGTTCATAATTGTTTTAACTTGTCAGTATTTCTACAATTATACAATCCCATAAGCTTTTAATGGGGAACATTTTTTATAGAGTTTTTACATAGTATTTTGCTTTACTTTCAAATAGAAAATAATTATGAAGTCTGGGCATGATTGATGAAAGATCTTAATTACCGAAATGGTTTCTTGACTATAGCGAAATTATCGATTTGGTCCTTGATTATTTCTTTTGACCAATTAAGTCTCAACTTTGAAAATCTTAACCAGATTGGTCCTTTGTTTGTTTTGTCGTTAGACATTCATTAACTCGGGACTAAATTGGTAATTTTGTTATAGGTAAGGGACCATTTCGGTCATTATATGCACCATTTTTTTCAAAAAGTTAATTACTGAAATGATCCCTTGACATGCAATCTCATGCTGTCAAGATAATCAATAAATGACAATATAAAGCCATGCTACTTCTCATACTTTCATGCAATACGTGCAAATCATTTAATCATGCAATAAAATGAACATGATGCTTTAGTATAAGTATAGATAAATATACATATACACTCTTTCTTTGGTAACAAGGAACACTTGTTCGAAGGAGGTTTCTTAGAGACACAATGACTCGCGTTCTTCTTTGACTTGAGTCACACAGACTCGCTTTTCTCTCCTTTTTCTAGAGTCACAATGACTCGCTTTCTTTCTTTACTTTTTACTCGTGGGCGAGGTAGGAACTTCACCATAATGTGAACGGACCTATCTGGGCTCGGCATAACCGGCCTAATACTCATCTCGTCCACACAACCACTCTCTTGGTTCTTTTCTTAAACTCTGTGGAATTAGGTATCGTACTTGTCAGTGTGCACACCCCCTAATCGGGATTCCAAGCCCGACGGGTAGTATCCTACCTAGTAACTCGGGAATATCGACCTCGTTACTTCACATCGTTTTACAATGTCCGTTTCTTTCTGTACTTTCTCTTTTCTTCCGAAAAGACATAGTCCTAACGGGCCTCCAAAATCTCGGATTACTCACACTAGATACATATAGATATAACTCATGCATTTCAATCTCATGCAACAACTTTACTTATGCAAACTTATGCACATAGCTTCTCATTAACTTCTCTTTTCTTACAAATTAGAAATCAAATATCATGCAACTTCTCAATGCAACTGGATAATGATTTTCCAAAATAGATATAGATTTTTGAAAGAATACTTAAGCTTACTTAGAGCCGCTAATGTACTTTAGTTCAGGATATACTAAACATGCTCTTTTACTATAATGAATATCTCAATTCTCTTTGACTATAAGTCAAACAAACAATGTATTAACTCATGCTCATAATTCAATTCTCGGTAATCTTTATAGCAAACACTTAGCAAATATTGATCATGCTCTTTAAACTTGAAATACACCTCATAAACTCAACTTATATTTCATGCTTTAGTAATTCACTTCACTGTAATTAAATAAGCTCATGTACTGTACAAACCAAATATTCATATTCTTGACAAAATTTTCAATAACTCATAATGGATATTTAGACATGCTATTCAGGCAAAACTTAACAAATAATAATCATGCTTTTCAATCAAATGGCTAAGCTCAAACATTTCAAAATCCTTCTTCACTGTAAAACAATTACAGTATACTTCAAGCAATTTCCAACACAATTTCTACTGTAATTTACTCATTTCAACTCCAAATTTAACGAAGTCAAATTCTACTAGTGCGTCGTAACGAATCCGAGTGTCGAGCCTCAAGGGCTCGCGAGTCCCGGACCAAACGACACATAGCTGAGCCACAGAGGGCTCGACCACTACACTGATTTGGCCTGGCGGAGCTTGCGGCGGGGCTTGAGGAGCCCCGCCACTTGGGTCACGGTTTTACCTGAGAACCGTGCCCAAGGGCCGTTCCTCCACTGGACTAGCCAACGGTCCCTGCCTAGGGCCGTTGGCAAGCTCCGTGAGCTAGTCTGGTGCACAGACAGTGTGCACCAGAGAGGATTCTTCTTCATCTGCAACAATTTTTTAGCAATCCAACACTCCCAAATCCTCAACAACACAATCATAGATCAACAATAGATCACTAATAGCTCAACAACATCAATAATCTAGCATTTCTAAGCATTTTCACTAACATCTTGACTTCACAAAGTCATAAATAAAGAGGTGGGAGTCCATGGGTTATACCTTTGTTGCTTCTTCCTCTTCTTCTTGGGATTCCTCCTTCTTCCCAAGTCATCCACTACCCCCTTCACCACCTAAACACTCTAAACAAGCCACACAACAACGCTTAAGAACTAGAATCTCACCGCCCGTTTGGTTCACGGAATAGGCTGGGAATGGCATAGCATTCCCAGTAACAGGCCTATTCTTTTGTTTGGTAACAATGTCTATTACCAGGAATAATGTTCCTAGTAATAGCCTATTAGCTCAGATGAGGTAATAGCTATTACCAGGCCCCCCTGGTATTAACTTATTCCTGAGTCCGCAGAAATAGAATATTTTTTTTTTCAATTTTAACCTTATCTTTCTTGCCGTTCTCTCCCTACGTATCATTCTACCCTTCCCCGATTCCTTCATCATCAACATCAGAGTCAAGCAATTCTTTCTACCACATCAAATTAAAGCATCATCAACATCAAAGTCAATCAATTCTTTCTGCCACATCAAATTAAAGCATCAAACAAAGGTAAATTTTCATAATTTTATTCTTTACAAATTAAATATTTAAATAATTAATTATATATATATATATATATATAAACTGCTGTGGCTGTGGAACCCTCCGCGCCGCAGCCGCAGCAGTTTAGTTTAATTTTTTATTTTTTATTTTTTTATTTTTATTTTTATTTTTTATTTAATTTAGTTTATTGTATCATTAATGTAATTATCACAAAATTCGTATAGACAGTGTAATTGGTTTGATTGTACAATGGTAGACTTGGTGGAAGTACTAGATAATGATATGTTCATCTAATAATTTACCCATCTAATATCAATCAAAGTTTATTTAGCTAAGATTAGATAAACAGATAATCTTTAACATGGAAATTTGTGAAAATGAAAGAAAAGATTGAATATTTTTTTATCTTGAATTGAATTGTAATACTTACTTAGGACTTGTTCTGCAGACAAGCGTCTGGAAGGGTCCTTGACTTAGTATTTTTATGTTTTTAAATTTTTTTATTTTTAGTTTAGTTTATTGTTTATTGGTTTTATTTTTTTATTTTTTTGTTTTTTTTTGTTTTTTTATTTTTTTTTTGTTTTTTGTTTTTTGTTTTTTTTTTTTGTTTTTTTTTTTGTTTTTTTTTTTTTGTTTTTTGTTTTTTTTTTTTGGTGCTGTAAAAGTGTTATTGTTTATTTTGTTTTGTTTTTTGTCACAGCAATGTTATTGTTTTTTTTTTTTTACCGTAGTGTTATTATAATCTCTATAAGTTATTGTAAGTTTTAAATTAAATTTGCAGTTATGGCTCGATTGCGTTTAATAACTCGTACTGAAAGAAGGAAAAGATGTGTAGCTGTATTGCGTGTATGGTTGAATATGTGTGCTTCTGTGAGTTTATTGTTTATCATGATGATGTCAACCTTGACAATTTTGTGTTCTAATAAAAAACGAGTGAAATCTTATATTATAAATACTTTAGGGTCTCGAGAATATATGTTACGAACTGTGCATTCTTGTGATGAAAAATGCATATCTCAACTTAGGATGAATCGACATGCTTTTGTGAAGTTGTGTGCAATGTTACAAACTATAGGAGGGTTAAGGCCAACAAGAAATATGCTTGTTGATGAACAAGTAGCAATATTTTTACATATTATTGCTCATCACGTAAAAAATAGGATCATTCAAAATAATTTTCAAAGGTCGGGGGAAACTATTAGTCGATACTTTAATATAGTATTGAATGCTGTTTTGAAACTCCGAAATCATTTATTCAAAGATTCTGAACCAGTTCCAGCTACCTCTACAGGTCATAGATGGAAATGGTTTAAGGTAGTTAAACATATCCCCTACAGTTGAGTTATAAGTTTAATTACAATGTGAATATATATTTAATAATATTTGATATTATTTCTAGAATTGTCTAGGCGCTTTAGATGGAACTTTCATTAGAATACAAGTGCCATCAGAAGATAAACCTAGATATCGATCTCGCAAGGGTGAAATTGCAACAAATGTATTAGGTGTATGTAAACCTAATATGCAATTTGTGTATGTTCTTCCGGGATGGGAAGGATCTGTAGCAGACAGTAGATGTTAGGAATATATTGTATGAGTTTTGATGAGCCAAATGTATTTTGTAGACCCCAATTTTATTTTATTTGAGTCAGTTCTGGTTCACAAAGTATAGTGCACCACTGTCATGAAGTCTACGTGAAAGCAGCTTTGAAGGAAGAATAAATGAAAGCGAGATCATAGCTTAAGACATTTATTAAGCATCAAGTCATCAAAGGTTGAGATGGACGAAATGGTAGAAGACTTATTGAAGCATGCTTGATGCAAGATGATTCACAGTCCAATTCTTATTGGAAGCAATTTTGGTGTAAAGAAGAAATGCTATCATGTTAAAAATACCTCTGTTTGCTAGCTTTGATTGATATATGGAAGATTTTTCTTTATAATAGATATGTGTTGAGTGATTGTAATTCAATTTTATTTTAAAACAAATACTCTGTTGATAATTGTTAGAGTTAATTACCAAAATGGTCCCTCGACTATTGTGAAATTACCAATTTGGTCCTCGACAATTTTTCTTACCCAATGAAGTCCTCCGACTTTGAAAATGTTAACCATTTTGGTCCTCGGTTAAAATTCCATCCATAAATTGTTAAATTGAAAGATAAAAAAGTAATTTCGTATATTTTATTGGAAGAGCCGCCTCTCTCTATCATACACTTCTACGGGTCTCCGCCGTCGACTCCTTCTCCACCTTCCAGTTCCCCGTCTCCTTCTACTCCGACTCCTTCGTCGCGGTCCAGCCCTGAGCCCCTCGTCGCCGTCGCCTTCTGGTACGAGGAATTCGCCACCAGCTCCTAGAAGCGGAGGAAGCTCTTCGACCCCATCTCTGCCGTCTGATGGTAGATCGTCGGGGATATTGACAGGGTTGGTGGTGGGAATAACCATTGGGGGAGTGTTGATACTTACAGTGCTGAGTTTGATGTTCATATGTTGTAGAAAGAAAAGGAGAAGAGATCATGAACATTACTATCCTCCACCACCACTAAAAAAAATCTGCTGTTTTTGCATTTTTTTGTTTGTTTTTTTGTTTGTTTGTTTTTTTTTTTGTTTGTTTTTTTTTTTTTTTTTTTTTTTGTTTTGTTTTGTTTTTTTTTTTTGACTTTATAGTTTAACATGGTTAACTGGATCAATGTTTCGAATGCTAAGGAATAGATTAGATCATGATAAGTTAACCCTTGAGATCCAACAAGGAGAATACAAGTGTAATTTATCATTTTCAACACAATTTTTGAGTCTATAGATCTCATTTTTTCTTGGTTTTATGCAATTAGGATTAGACTTCAAATGCTGATGAAAACTGGTTTTAACTTCTATACCTGGATTATTTGATACTCATGTCTAATATTGGTTTTGCCAGCTGATCCGTATGGTGGCCAAGTGCAACAATGGTAGTATTATGCTCCACCGCCTTCTGATCATGTTGTTACGATTCCTCCGAAGCCCTCTCCTCCTCCTCCCGGGCGTCACGCCCTCCACTCTCTCCTTCTCGGGTTCCAACACCTCAACCCCCATCCCCACCTCTGCCTTACATGAGCAGCAGTGGAGCTTCATCATATCCAATTACTCGGGGTCTTCGAATCCACTCCCACCACCTTCACCGGATATGGCCTTAGGTTTCTCGAAGAGCACATTCATTTATGAAGAATTGACGAGGGCAACTGATGGATTCTCCGATGCTAACCTTCTTGGACAAGGCAGTTTTAGCTATGTGCATCGAGGAGTTCTTCCTAATGGCAAAGAGGTTGCGGTTAAGCGGCTAAAAGCTGGGTGTGGACAGGGTGAGAGGGAATTCCAAGCCGAGGGAGAACTGCAAAGCTTGTCGCTGCGGGAGGTGTCCGTCATCACCAACCACCTCCCTCTCTGGTCGACTTTTGAGGCCAAGATAATAGTGACCAAACAAATTATGAGATTCACGCTTCAACCTTCATGGGCACTGAGTTCCTCTGCGTGTCTGAATTAATTGGCCGAAATTCCATCAATGCCCTCCAATTTAACAGATTTTTAACGCATGATTTAACTGAGGACCAAAATGGTTAACATTTTTAAAGTCGAGGACTTAATTGGGTAAGGAAAATTGTCGAGGACCAAATTGATAATTTCGCAATAGTCGAAGGACCATTTCGGTAATTAACTCTAATTGTTATAACTTGTCAGTATTTCTACAATTATATAATCCCATGAGCTTTTAATGGGGAGCATTTTTTATAGAGTTTTTACATAGTATTTTGCTTTACTTTCAAGAAAATAATTATGAAGTTTGGCCATGATTGTTCAAAGAAACCAAAAAAAAAAAAAAAAAAAAACTTTTGTCGTCTTGAAATAATCTAAACAAAAAGAGAAATATTTAACCCAAAAAAGTCCATTAAAAGACTTCACTTGTGAAAATCTTTAAAAAATATATATAAGGGAATGTTATTAAAAATTTAAGAGAAATCTCTTTACAAGTTACATCAAGCTACAAAGGATTCCAATGAAAGAGAAAAATTACTTGTGTTGATCTCAATAATTATTAAAGAAAAGATAGGAAGAGAATCAAATCAATAGAGAAAAAATAAAAATCCTTGCATAAAATAATTATTTTAATGTTTTTCTTTAATGATTATCATTTTTAGTAATATTCGCAGCATTGTAAGGTGTAAATTTATTTTTCAAATTAAGTCGTTTTTGTCATGTCGCGCGCATTGTCTGAGTTGTCATCGCCACATCTATATTTTGCTATGTCGTACACATACCATGTCATATTCTTTACAAATTCTATTAAAAAGAATCTAACTTTTATCATTTAAGGACTTATCTAAAATTTGGAAGTTTGTAAGTAATGAAAAGAAGACAGGGCGATAAAGCAAAATGTGGAGTTTCATTCAATAAATTAAAAGCCCTTGAGAGGGTAGTCGGTTACATCAAAAAAGGGATGAGGGAGTTCCTAGCAATTACTCTAACTGGTCGAGGCACCAGCAATCTCCTCGTTGGACTAGAAGAGACGTTAGTCAGAGCAGCAGCATCAGCAGTCAGGGTTGAGCGGCGTCTTCGTAGCTGGTTGGCCAGCTCGCCCTCATCCTCCTCATCCAAGTCTAGCAGCGCGGTCTCGAGAGCCCCAACCAGAGTGCTCTGGTTAGCGGTCGAGTTCAGATACTCGGGTCCAGCGAGATTTGTTGGCCGCTACTTTGTCTAGTCGCCTGTTGGTCCAAGTCAACTGCTCCCTGGTCATGTGCGGGAGTAGCTGGTACTCGGGCATATTCCTCAAAGGCAGTCGGGAGCCCGTAACGGTGAGGACTGAAGTCGCTGAACTGGGCAGCCAGGAGGATGTAGATTTCCTTCTGCACGTCAACCAACCCCAGTTGGTAGTCCGACGACTCCTTCTACGCAGTCAGGGCCACCTCTCGGGCAGTCTGCAGCTCCACCATCAGCTGCTCATTCTTCCGCTTCTCCGCATCTAAAGCTGAGGTAGTCTGGCCCAACTGCAGGTTCATTTCATCCATCTACTTGGCGTGGTCATCGCGGATATCATGAAGACCCTCCATCTCGGTTAGCATGACCTTTTAAAGGCGGCGGAGGGTAAGTTGGCACATCAGAGCCTACACAAAGAAGGTACAAATTTTCCTAAGTATCAGAAAGCAAGTAATCGGGATAGCAGGAAGGAAGTCTACCTGGTAGGTGTGGTGGGTGATCCCCTCCAAGAGCCTGTCAGTATTAGCTCCCTCTACGAACTCCAAGTCCTTGGGGAAGACCACCTTGTCGAGCCATTCATTCACTGGGAACTTGCCCTTATGAATGGCCTCTGTCTCGTTGGCCTCTGGGCCAACCACGATTCTCTTGGCGGCCAGCTCCTCAATGGAAGTCCAAAGGGCGCTTCGTCCCTAACTGGCATGGTGCAGGTGTAGTCGCAGTCGGGGTGGTTGACTCTTTCCACCGATGACCAGTGGGGCCGCACTGTGTGCCGCTAGCAGGGGAATGGAGTCCGCGGATGAGACCACGCCTTTGCCTTTGTCAGCGGTAATCAGGCGAGCGTGGCCTTGAGCTCGCAGTAGTGCACGGCGATCAGCCATCGACCCAGCAGAAGACTCCTCGGCGAGCTGCTCGTCGTCCGAGACAAGATCAACCGTTTTTGCAACAGAAGCACGGTGGACGACCAGCGCTCCCTCGCCGTCCTGTTGATCCTCGTTTGACTCCTTCGAGGACTCTTCCTTATCATTGTTCCTTGCAAAAGGCGAAGGAGGGGGGGGGGGGGGGGGGGGGGGGGGGATGAGACTAGTGGAAATAAGTAGGCAGTCAAGAAAAAACAGGGAAAGCAGACATGTGTTGGCTGCCCCGACGGGCAGAATGTCAGCCCTCTACATGGCCCACAGTCGCGACCAGCGCCTGGCTAAGTTCAGGTCACCCTCGATGATCCGCTTGACCAGATCCACCAGGTTGTCTGGGCAGGGTGGCCTTTTCTCAAGGCGGTAATAGGAAGACTGCCAGGCAGTCGGGAAGTTGAAGTCTGCAGGGGGGGCGTCCGGGCGGACAAAGAAGAACGCCTCCTTCCAGCCCCATGTGGGAGGACTCCAGTTTTTCTAAGAATTTACGGCCATCCCGGGGACGGATCTATACATAGCCCGGGGCGGTGGAACCGACGGCATTTAGTCGGAAGAGCATGTGGAAGAGTGGAAGGGAAGCCTCCACCTTGAGGCGGTGGCAGTAGGTCAAGAAGGAGATTATGAGGCGATAGGAGTTGGATATGAGCTGGCTAGGCACAAGGCCGTAGTATCGGAAAAGAAGGGAGAGAAAGGGGAAGACGGGTACTCGAAATTCGTAGTGCACTGACTGGTAATGGATGTCCACAAAACCGCCCTCCAGGGGGTCAGTGACCAGTCGGTCGTCGACAGGGCGAGTTTCCGCCGTCGAGCCGAGCAGTTGGCGGGCGTGAGCGTAATTGGTAGAAGAAAGGGTGGAGTGGTAGTCCACCGACCCTTCTAGGTCCTCGAAGAAACCTGGTTCCTTCTCAATAAGAGGGTCTACAGGGGCAACAGAGGCGCTTCCTAGCGCATTCTCCGCCGAGGAAGTTGTGGTCGGAGAGTTGGAGGCGATGCCTTGACGGCCATAAAGTGAAGAGGTTGGGGTTGGTGAGGATGACATTAAAGGAAAAATGAGGAAAAATAGGGGCTAACCTGGAAGGAGTGAAGGGACGATGGGCAGAGGTTGGACGGAATTGACTTGGGGTTGAAGCATTGGCCGAAGGAAAATGCTGAGGTCGCCGAGAGGTTTAGCGAGGAGAAGAGGTGAAATCAAAAGAAGAGAATGGGGGGAAACGGATGGGCTATTTATAACAAAGGTTGACTGCCCAAATCGCGACACATGTCGGCCATCGGACGGTTGATAGGCGGACGTTACGTCTGACAAGACGGTTACGAGGAGATGCCTTATCGAGAACGTAACCGGCGGAAAATGAGGAGACGCAATTATTACGCCGTAGTAACCGTACCATTCACGGAACCAGTCGGGAAAAGCGGGACCAGTCATGGCGGTTGGAGCAGTAGGCTTGGCGCCTACCCGGCTGATTGCGACACTGCACTCAGCTACATTGCAAGATTGACAAGGAGCTGGTCAAGATTCAGGCGCTACACTTGGTGAATTTCTAGTTTTCTGAGGCATCGTCCGACTAGATCTCAGAAAAGTGGGGGACTGATGATGGATATCCCTAAAGGGTACCCAGTCAGGCATGCCCCTAGGCGGTCAGACAAAGGTGGTGGTGTGGGCACTTAGAAGCATTAGGAGAAAGGGCCTCATCAGTGTAACTCTTATTCGATCGTTGTTCAGCCTGCCAGTTGGCCTAGTCAGGAAACTAGACTAAGCAGTCAGTGCGTCCTCGACTGAGTGCCTGCTCTAGAGGTGGTGAATGAAGATTTGGCGGGGATTTTTTCCTTGGGTAACAAGGAACTTCCCTTTTTTACATTAGGAAGATATTCCAATAGTTTTAGGAGTTTTTTTTTTTTTTTTTTTTTTTTTTTTTAAGTTTATTTTAGTTAATTTCTTCCTTCTTGCATTCTTCAAGACCCATATTCCTTATATAAATACTCTCATGGGGTCACATTGTAGAGAATTCAGAATTTAATACACACGCTGTTACTCTATTATACCTTTTTCTCAGTTATTCTCTCGATTCACTTAGTACTTTTACGGTAGTGTTGGCCCGCCGTCCGGCTGCCCTAAGTCGTAAAACCAACATCCTAGTCTTGAAACTTGATTTACCTTCTTATGGGGTTGGGAGCGAGTTCATGAAATTTAGGATATAGTTTGACAAAGTTGGGAAATCTAGTTTTTTTTTTTTTAGAAGTAATTCTAAGGTTTGCAAATACGTTAAACCTAGGTGGAAATTATGATATTTTACTAAAGCCGAGGGGCTTGAAAGATAATTACAGCATTTATCCTAATATACGATACGGTAGAATATTATACTCGTACAAATCCTTTTTCCCAACTCGAACAACTCTTCGGTCTCGATTTTTCTCAGATCAAAAGCTCTCTCCCAAATCCGAATCGGAGATCAGAATTCACTGTTTCATAGTGAGCCTTTTGGCGTTTCTGTTTGTCTGCAGAGGAACGATAGGAGGTAGAATTCCGGGGAAACATAGACACTGAACCTTCCGGGTTTTTTTTTTTTTTTTTTTTTTTTTTTTTTTTTTTTCGCGTTGATTACTATATAGAAAATTTAAGGCTCTTTTGCTTTTAATTTTGCAGTTCCGGGTGAGATTTGAATAACTTGTGTTGATTACGAAGTAGTGGTGTGTAGGATGCAGGTAATTTCTTCGTTCTCTAGAAATTCGGGAAAAAAACTAGAGGAAAATACATTATTTGTTTTAAATACAGTGGAAACTGTTGCAATGAGACTGATTGATTCATCATTTTGTGCCTTTATCACTTGTAGTTGGCATGAATTTTAATATAGTTTTTTTTAAAGCTCCCTACAATATTTTTCTTGAGCAGATGATTGATTTAATATAGTGTGACTTCCAGGGAAGAAGCCATTTTGATATGGATTTATTAGTAAAAGATAATACCTAATGTGAGCTTGAACGGGAATGCTTTTGTTTAGAATCTACATTGATGTATGGGTTATTGTTGACCTGCTTGGTTTATATAGACATTCTTTCAGAGTTTCAGGATAACAAAAATGCAGAATAAGGGGTAACTCCAGCCAAGATGGCAAAAGATTCAAGCTTGTAACCACAAGGTCACAAGTTTGAATACTTGCCCCCTTGATTTGAGCCGGTCAACTATGGCTAACCTAGGCTGGTTTACTTTCTTGTAGTCCTTTGCCGACTAGGGTCACAAGGCGGGGTTTACACATACTCGAAAGGGTTGTGGGGTTTCCCTCGTCATCCCAAAAAAAATGCAGAACAAGTGCTTATAAATGAATTGAGGATCTCCTTATTCCCATATCTCATTTATGCCTCTGAACTCATTGCAGTGCCCAGAGGTTTGTGAAACAGCACCAACATGTTGAAACTCATATTTTGAGCAAACCACTGCTGATTTATAGCTTAAATTTTTTTGTCAAGACTTTCACTTTTATTCCACCTAATTTATATGATTTTGTATGTATTCAATGCTCAATTGCTCATTAATCTCTTTTTTTCTGAATTATTCGGGCAATCTGTTTCAGATTAATATGTATCTTTTCAGGCATCAAGGGCAAGGCTTTTCAAGGAGTACAAAGAGGTACAGAGGGAGAAAGCAGCTGATCCAGACATACAATTAGTTTGTGATGATTCCAATATTTTTAAGTGGACAGCTCTTATAAAAGTGAGTTCTTTTACTTACTAAAGAAGAGAGAATAATTTTTTTTTTTTTTTTCATGATACGAGGCTGCCATCCTCTTTTTCACTTGCATGAATAGGGATAGGGAAGGATGTTTGAGAGAAAAAGTATGCAGTAATGATGTTTGTTGGTTATTTTATTATGTTTTGCATAGGGGCCATCTGAAACTCCCTTTGAAGGTGGAGTTTTTCAGCTTGCTTTCTCTGTCCCTGAGCAGTATCCTTTGCAGCCTCCTCAAGTGCGGTTCTTAACCAAAATATTCCACCCAAATGTTCACTTTAAGGTACGATTTGATGAATTTTTAGTACATTCCATCGTTCCATCCCCAAAACAGAATTACTGATGCGTAGTTGGCATAAGGCACAACTTGCTGCTCCAATGCGCACCTATATGCATTGTGTTTCTATAATTCTATCTATGCACCACATAGATGATTAAAACAACACATCTTTTCATTCTTTCATAGGACCAGTTTTGTTACACTACTTAACTTCTTGAATCATCAATACTTATATTTTGGAATGATATGTTGCTTTAGGTTAAATTGTGAAAGTCCATTTGGGCATGAAACTCAACTTTTACAGCATAGATTCTTCATGGACCTTATTTTCAACTAATATCCTTAATTATTATAGGATTTTTATTAACAATAACAATCTTATAGCCTTTTAGGATTATTTGCTTCTGGAAAATCGAAATGATTTGAAATTTAAAACTCTAGAAAAAGAGATTTAGGAATTGAGAGGAAAAGCAGGGAAAGAGAGTGCAGAAGGACAATACCGAATAAAAAGCAGGAATAAAAGGGGAGAAGAACTTAGTAATAGAGGTATTGTCTGAGAGTTCATCAATTATATGGAAAAAAGTGCAGGACTATTACGAATAAAAGGAGGAATAAAAGGGGGAAAGAACTCAGTAGTAGAGGCATTGTTTATGAAGAAAATTAACAGAACCAATACTTCCTTTTTGCACATATGAGTGGTCATATTTATGGTTACTCAACAAAACTCAACCTTAAGTAAGTTTTGATGGTTAAAGTGTTCGAGTTGTTGGAAGGAACTAAGGATGGTTCTTCACTTCTAGGTGTGCTTCCATATAGAGAACTTTGCTTTAAATAATTCCTTTGTTTAAAATTCTTTTCTGTTTTCTTGTTCTTAACTATGAAACTCTAATTTCATAGCATACTAAAGAAATATGCTGCTGTTGTGGTATGCTGGTGCTAGTATTGCTGATCTAGATTTCTAAGCAACAGTTCTAGAATAATTTTTTTTCAACTTTTTGTGTGTTCAACCAGACTGGAGAGATTTGCCTTGATATATTGAAGAATGCATGGAGTCCTGCTTGGACACTTCAGTCTGTTTGTCGAGCAATTATTGCGTTGATGGCTCATCCAGAACCTGATAGCCCTCTTAACTGTGATTCAGGTAATTAAAGTTTGTCTTATGACGGTATGATTCCCATTTTCTGTTTCTTTACCAAGGTGTAGAGGGAAATGCTGCTTGTTTGGAGCATGGATGAGAGTGAACACATCAAGTGTTCTAAAATTCATGGATTATGGGATCCCCTCATTCTCTCAAGAAAATAACTTTCCTGTTTTTACTTTGTGTGGTTAATGTGTTATCTCCCAAATCAAGCCCTCTGATTTATCTTTTATGTATTTGATTCTCATCCACCATTCAATGATCACTTTACTGCAGGGAATCTTCTTCGTTCCGGTGATATAAGAGGATACCAGTCAATGGCAAGAATGTATACTAGGCTTGCAGCCATGCCCAAAAAAGGGTGATTGGATAAGTTGCTACCTATAAACAATTGATAACAAAAAAAAAAAAAAAAAAAAGGAAATCTCATGTTTGATGAACATTAGCCAGTGTTACATGCAACTATTACGATACAATATTCAATAGTTGTTGTGGGATAGTCGTGTATTGTTGTAAAAACCATATTTCAAGCAAGACTCCTGCTTTTTACGATCTTCAGCAAGGAATTTCGCCCACTTTTCTATTTATGACTGGGACTTATATCGTTATCATAATTACAACAGTAAAGTGAAACTACTTGCTTTACCAACATGGTTATAGAAAAGTGTAAGGTATGTTCTTTCTTATCCAGACTCAGATGCAATATTATCTCTGTACTAATCAATATGCTTCCTGTACAGAGATTATACACATCTTAAACCTCGCCTTCAATTCCTTGTAGAAATCTCATGTGAACACCTGAGTTACTCTTGTGAGCATTTTTCTTGCCAGTAAATATAAATGGTATTTGTGTTTCCATTTCATCTCAGTGTCATATACTTTAGGGCTTTGTTTTGTGAAACTGACAGTTTGCAAAAATGCTAAACATTTGCTTTTTCATGGTTGTGTTGCAAAAGCAGTGGTGAGAATTCTATTCTGAAAATTTGTCATTGTTAATTCTAGTCAGGCACTAAATTTAGTGACAAGTTTTAAAGGTTAAGTATTACATTTGGCCAATTTTAAAGTTGAAAAAAAATTATTAGTTGAGGGATTAAATTTGAAAATTGTATTAATCTTGAACTTAATTATTGGACACGTGGCACAGCAAATGTTTTCCTTGGATTAAAAGTGAATACAAAAGAAACTTGATACAAACATGTCATCAGGTGTGCTTATAAGTTTTAGCAATTCAACATTTCCTGTGTCACGAGAAAGACATTTTTATTTCAAACTGATTCATGGTTTACCAATGCTGTAGAAAACATATCTCATCATGATATTTTGTAAACATATCTCATCATGATATTTTGTTTCTTTGTTGAGACTTTTTAAAATGTAAAGTAAAAGATTAAGTCTAACATATTATATTTTAATTAAAAAAATATTACAGGTCTCACTTGAGACAGTATTACTCAATTTATTTAAAATAAAATCATTACTCAATTTATTTAAAATAAAATCATTAACTATAAACGAAGGTTTTAAATAACGGACATTATAAACCAATAGTTAGGTTTTAAATAACGGACATTATAAACCAATAGTTACACTCACCCGGCAAAGTATTGTGTGAACCATGGTCAACATAGTTGTGTGGACTATGAATATAAGGTACATTTTAATATACTAAAAGTACATTATTATCATTTTTTTTTTTGAAAATAAAGAAACTAATTTATTAATCATAGGCTGAAATGTTTGTAATAAAGATCGATGGTCAAACATTCCTTACAGTTAGACATAGAAACAACTTCCCTAGCAATGCTATAGAAAACTTGATTCACAGACTGTTTCACAAATTTGAAGCTGAATTCTTTGGAGGAACTTAAAGCTTCTTTAATGATTCGTAGACTGTTTCACAAATTTGAAGCTGAATTCTTTGGAGGAACTTAAAGTTTCTTTAATGATTTGGTCAAACATACCCAAGACGGACACTGGTTGAATAGTCTTGCACAACACCTGAGTGTCTATTTTCATTTTGCTATCCATTGACAATATCTCCATCGGGCGCTGAACTGCATATCATAGTTCAGAGGATTCTCTTTTTCATTGTCATGTTTGTCACCCAGAATGATATTCACATACGTTATGACCAGTTTTACCGTTTCACGCTTTATGACAAAAGAACTCACCAAGTAAATGAGAGGAAGAAACTCGTCAAAACAACAAGAGAAAAAACACAGAAACTACAAACAAAATTAAACCAGTAAAACAAAGCAAAGGGAAATAACAATGCAAAAATAAGGGAGTAACGACCTGTAGCGGTGGAGATAGAGGGATGGGGCAAGGTGTAACCGGTGACGAAGACGGAGAATGGAAGAGAAGACGGTGAAGGTAGAGAAAACAATGAAGGCAGACGCTGTCTATGGTGGAGATGGCGGTAGGGGAAGATGATCAGACGCCGCCTCCGATCTGTTTGCTTCACGGAGGCGGCAACCGTGTAGAAATTTGAGCGGCCGAAAACCAGAGACGAGAGAGAATTAGAGAAATCCTAATCTCTTCCAAAAGTACATTATTTGATAGAGTTAATTCCAACAATGGTCCTCCGACTATACTGATTTTCCAAAATTAATCCTCGACTTTTAATTTGGACACTTTAGGTCCCTTGACTTTCAATTTCTTTCCAATTGAGATCCTTTCGTCAGAATACGATTAATTGGACTTTAAATGAAGGGGTAAACTCGTCCTTTCACTTGCCTATGTATTATTCTTCGTATTTCTCCCTTCGTATTTCGCTGGTATACCTTGTAAACATCTCAATAATGGAGAAACGCACACATGAGCAGTCAATAAATGGGGAACGAGGAACATTCTAGGACTTCGACTGAGATTATCTTCATATATATCGCTTATACAATGGAGAAATATGAAGAATAATACATAGACAGGTGAAATGACGAGTTTACCCCTTTATTTAAAGTTCAATTAATTGTATTCTGACGAAAGGACTTCAATTGGAAAGAAATTGAAAGTCAAGGGATCTAAAGTGTCCAAATTAAAAGTCGAGGTCTAATTTTTGAAAGAGTTAATAACCAAAATGGTCCCTCGACTATGTCGTAATTACCAATTTAGTCCTCGACTACCATTCTTACCCAATTAAGTCCTCAACTATACATTATTTACCTAATTTAGTCCCCGACTATCATTCTTACCCAATTAAGTCCTCAACTATACATTATTTACCTAATTTAGTCCTCTGTTAATGGGCTGTCAATAATGAGGGCAAAATTGTCATTTTATCCATCTCCTCTCTCCGCTTTGAGGACTCCATTATATTTCTGTCATTTTATCCCTCCGATGCATCGCAGCCGTCCTCCGCCTCCGCAAATTTAACACGTACAGTATTTAATTAAATAATTAACCTGTCTTCACCTCCACTGGACCTATGGAGGCGACATTCAACATGAGACCCCTAGCATGAAAAGGTTTGCCTCTGAAATCATTATTTATTCATTGTATGAGATCTATGTTGTGGGCATTGCACAATTGTCATCCAAAGACTGAAACAGTTTTTGCTTTGGAGAGACAAAGGTCAGTGTTCGGTTGAAACATATTTACATTGTATCTCTTCCACCCAAGCTTAGAAGTTAGAACAAGAGCAATGGAGTCCTCAAATCAGAATGTGGATGTTCTCCGCGAATTGAAGGAGATGATATATAATGGATGTAAATGTACAATGATTGTTCCATATTTTGCACGCACCTGAGACGCAGGCCAGGGGGAGATTTTGTTGGAGGCCAGGGGAAAAATAGTCTGGTGGACGCTCAAATCCAAGGTCAATATGACTGTGATATATGCAAAATGAGGTTTGATGAACTCACAGAGTATGCACGCCACCGCAAATTTTACCAGAATAGTCTAACGGGATACCGGAAACTAACGGCCACGTCTTACAGACGGAGTGATAATGAAGGATGGGTGTCAGTTTTGCCCCAAGGTGTTCCACAAAAAGATTAGTTACGTTGCACTCGCCATATAAGAAATCAGCCGATAGATGTGCTTGAACTAGAAATGGTGTCTCGAGATAATTTGGTTGAAGCGGAGGACAGTAGCGATGCATCCGAGATAATCTCGTCGGAGGTGACAGATAATCTGGTGTATACAGTATATATATATATATATATATATATATATATATATATATATATATATATATATATATATATATATATATATATATATATATATATATATAGAGGAGTGATCACATGTGGTCATGTTGTTAGGTGTGGTCATATGGTCAATTATAGGCCATTAGATTAGATAGATCCAATGAATCATATTAATCAAGATTTTTTTCAGTATTTTCGCGCACATTCTCCTACCCAGCGAACTGTAAGGGTAAACTCGTCATAAAACACCGGAATAGGGGAAATCACATTGTTGTGTGTTTTATTACACTATTGGTGCATGTTGTCAACACTGTTGGTGTATTCTGGAAGTCGGCCGCTATAAATGGTCATTGTAATTACCATAACACGGAAATACACCATTGGTGTGTTTCACTGTGGTGTGTTTTATTACACTATTGGTGTATGTTGTCAACACTGTTGGTGTATTCTGGAACCCGCCCGCTATAAATGGCCACTGTAATTACCATAACACCCCCACCTACCAAAACGCGCGAAAATTCTCAGAATTACCACTGCCGTTAGATTAAACTGATTCAACGACCCAGATACGACCACACGACCACACCTAATGACATGACCACATATGAGCGTTTTTCTATATATATATATATATATATATATATATATATATATATATATATATATATTGTAGCGGTGTGAGGAAGGAAATGGATAAAATCACTGTTTTGCCCTCATTATTAACAGACATTAACAGATGACTAAATTAGGTAAATATTGTATAGTTAAGGATTTAATTGGATAAAAATGATAGTTGAGGACTAAATTGGTAATTACGGCATAGTCAAGGGACCATTTTGGTTATTAACTCTTTTTGAAAATCAATATAGTCGGAGGACCATTGCTGGAATTAACTCTTATTTGATAGTATATAAAATAATGTACTTTCAATACTTAAATAATGTACTTTACGTACATAAATAATGTACTTCTAACATATTACAAATGTACTTTTTATTTATAGTCCACACAATTGTGTAGACCATGGTTCATTAATAATCATTGTTACACACCCACAGGCAACAGTAAATCAGTAATCTAAAAAGTTAAGCAGTACAAACTTGCATTATATACTAAAACCATCACACATGAGATCACTTAAAATTTCAGAGCAAGGATCCTCAGATGCTCATACTTTGCACTGTTGCAGTCATGGCTTGAGGAATTTGTCAAACCAATCACTTGCTTCTTTTACCATGAATGGTGTCATTTGATGCCCGATTCCAGGTTGCGCTATCAGCTGAAATTTTAAAAACAAAAATAAAATTAAATTAAATTAAATTAAATTAAATTAAAATAAACATTACATGAGTAATGCACTCAGGACATGCTTGGTGTGTGTATGTGAGAGAGAGGAGAGAATAAACAGGGTAAAGTTGGGAAGCAGGCTTTCTACCTTGAAATGATCAGGACAGTGGGCATCTTCACAAGATTGAGTAGCTTTAGACTTGGGAATTTCCAAACCAGCAAGTGGGCAACGAGGATCTTCTTCCCCTGTATGCCCCAAACATGAGTTATATGTGCATATGTATTATACATTAGTAGCCAATACTTGGCTAACTAACATTTTAATGAAAGTTTTTCACACTTTTGGTCCTACGAGTATTGCGACACTAACAATGTTGATCCGTAACTTTCAAAACTTGCACAATTGGTCCACGAGTATCAATTTTTTAGCGCAAATGGTCTTTTTGGTGAAATCTCCGTCAATCTTTTTACCGGAAAAATTATTTCCACTTTATAGCAGGAGTATAATGGTCTTTTCCTTTTGTAGAGATTTCACCGGAATGACCATTTGCGTTAAGAAATTGATACTCGTGATCCAATTATGCAAGTTTTGAAAGTCATGGATCAACATTATTAGTGCCAGAATACTCGTGGGACCAAAAGACCGTAAAACTCTTTTAATGAATTATCATTACCATTTAGAATCAGCAAAGGACGAGGTGAAATAATTGGCACTGTGTAGGGTGAATCGAATTGGGAGGCTAAACCTGGTGCAATTCTGTCCCACACCTGTCCAGAAAAGCAATTCATAAACTACAGAACTCTACTTTTAGAAAATATAGTTTGGAAGGTGGACTTGTGGACTCTCAAACTAGAATAAGGAAATCCATAGTGATTGCTCATGTATTTTAGTTATGAGATTGTATAGCACAGTATTTTAATGTGTGTTTGCAAACAATGCAATAAAATTAGAGATGAATATATAAGTTCCTAAAAGGCGCAAAAAACTGTTATTGATGTTTACCTTTTCCACCACATCTTTATCAATCTCCTGCTTGCCTAAATCAGCCCGGGCTTCTGGAAATGGAACAAACAAGTGTCAAGGAAATGGCATGCTATGAACACAAGGGCCCCGGGTATCAATAAACACAATGGAAATAATAGTTAGGAAGTATTTACTATAGGGTCATCCTACCTTCAAAGACTGCCTTGATACTGTTCACTCTTGCTTGCCATTTGTCATGTTCTATGGCCCATCTAAACCCCTAAATTTGCAATAGGAATTAGTCTTCATAGTCTACAATAAGATGATTCAAAATCCACTTCTATTGCACTACAAAAGTAATATTACATATGAGCTACCTGTACACCGATTATGGGGACAACTACTGTGTAGCGGGTGTCAACAGCAGCACCAAACCAAGCATGCATACCTGCAAGACAGAATTTCTTCTGAATCCCGCATGCAAAAGAGATTGTTCAAACAGATCTTAATGGCATTCACCCTACCCCCAAGTGATTCCCCAGTGATTCCTATCCTTGATGGGTCAACATCCTCCCTTTCTGTGAGATAATCAGCCAGTTTTATCAGATCCCAAACCTGTAGAATCAACCATTAACAAATCCCCCAGGAGCTTGTGTGATGTATGAATCACCTTATCTATTTGTAAATTCAGCGACATTTACTTCTCCTAAAAATCTGGCAACATTACCGTGTCATATATAAATGGCATTGTATCACCTGTCTTCCAAGATGAAACAAGGGCCTGCATTATTGAAAGAAAGAGAAAGTACAATGAGCTTGTTAAGATTGAGAAACATCCTGACACTTGTGATAAATATACTATCGGGGAAATTCCCTTCTTCCCTTCTCTTTGAAGAGTCACCCTTGGAAAAATACTAATGACCCTCCTAAAATGTTTTTTGTGGTATGGCAATTTGCAAAAATCACTTAAAGACCTAAAGGATCAAGTTCCCAGAGCAAAAAAAAAAAAAAAAAAAAAAAAAAAGAAGCAAAAGATTAAAATTTCAAAATCCATAGGAAATTTTCAACCCCTGACCTTCAATATAAAGCCACAGTTAGAAATTTCCTTTTAGTAAGAAAGCTTATTGAAGGTTAAACAGAAACACGGAATAGAAGAATAGGCTTAGTCCATACATCTCGGTAGGTTGTCAAACAGCTTGCACGTTCTCCATGGTAACGAGAATCAATGGCAACAGCTATATATCCCCTTGAAGCATATGCCTGAAGTAGAATAAAATACCCTTAAATCCTCATGGTGTAACCCTCACTACTCAAAAAAGGTAGCAATCCTCACCTCAAGCAGTGGTCTTAACCATTCCTTGCATTTATGTGTGCTGTGCAAAAAAACAATAGCTGGCCTTTTCTTCTTATTGCTTTCTTTCATGCTCAATATCAACACAGGCAATTGCCCCTGATCTCCCTCCTGAGCACAGTAACTTCATAGATAAATAATAGGCAGAAATTGAGAATATTGTGAGTAGATTCTATTTTATATCTACAAAATTATTAGACATTTAGAAACTTCACTTTTGTCTCCAAGTTTGTGTGAATATTGAAGTAAAATTACCTCAGTAGTCAAGTATAAATTTTCCTCCTGGAGTAATTCCTTAAAATTGGTAATGTTTGCCTTTGGACAAGATGCCATCACCTGTATCGCAGTACAAGTCACACATCAGTAAAGAGTGAAAATAAATGGTTATGATGCTTTTTAAGCATTTAAATCTTTACCTCACTAAACACTGGCTTAGGATTTTCCTGATACAAAGGATCTATAACTGGTTTTCCAGGTATCACAGAAAGGGAAACTGGAAAGAAAACACATCAAGTCTCTAAATTAATCTCTAGGACACAAAATTGTACAATTCAACAACACAAAATATCAAAATAAATAAATAAATATTTCATTTAACAGAAACCTTAGCAATACCATTAGATATAGGCAAAAACTTGTGTGAGACCGTCTCACAAATCTTTGTCTGCGAGACGGATGAAAATGTAATACAAAATGTAATACTAATCAGGAATAAAGTGTTTATTACTTATATGAAAAAATGTAATACTTTTGAAAAAAAAGTAATGCTTTTACATTTTGATTTTAAAGTATTACAATTTTTCTCATAAGTATTACATTTTCTCTTAATAAGTAACAAACACTTGACAACATTACTTATAAGAGAAAGTGTAATAAAGTGATACTTATGAGCAGGCAATGTATGTATAATAAGAGAATAAACAAAATTGATTATACAACAGAACAGGAGAAAAAAAAATGCATAAGTAGAAAGTAAAGACAAACAATCAAAAACAGAAACAAGACACTCAAACACACATACACAGACAGAAATGCAATTCACATTCAAAAATTTATGCCGATCAATTTCACTTGCTACTAAAATCGAGCTCAAAAGATAGAAGTTCGCTTTCCGTTTCAGCCAAAAAGCAATGATATGAAATCAACTTTTACACACACATTTGGAAGATTAGTGTGGTGTGGAGATACCTTCAGGGGAACGGCGGCTGCGGAGGACTTGGATGAACTGAGAGCGGAGTTGGTCGGCGGTGCCGGAGTCAACGGTTGGTTGGTCAGCCATTGCGCCGAGGCGAGCAGAGCAGATGGAGGGTAGATTTGGAGCTCCATTTTTATAGTAACGGGAGAGAAATGGAGGGTGCACGTGAGTTAGCACGTGCAAGCCCGTCATCATGATTGCAATTATGGCTATACAGATTCGAAAGGCAACGATTAGGCCTATCTGCGCTGGCAATTGCCAAAGGTGATCTTAGTCGAATTTCACTGCTCTCTTAAACGAAGATTAAAAGTGGTTGGTTGAAAGGGGAAATTAAAAAGAAAAATTATAATTTTGTAAAAAAAGAATAAGATATATTATTCTTATAAAAGTTCGAATTTACAATCTCCTATATAAAAAAATAATTTGGTATACCAGATCATAAGGTCATTTGTTAAAGCTATTCGTTATTATCATGTAATTGAATAATATTTGTACTATAGTTATCATTTTGAATGAAAAACGTATTCATCCAATTATAATTATGAAGCATGTTAATGGAGATTTTCTTTTTGTAAATGTTACACTTATCTACTAAAATTACTATATTAATACGGAGTATTAATTATCTTACGTGACATTGATTGAAACTTCTTTATTTTTATTAAAAATGTCTGAATTGTTTGACCCAATCATAACTTCATAAACAGTTTGCTTAATAATCAAATAAAAATTAAAATTAAAATAAAATAAAATGACATATCAAACTATTATGTAATAATTTTTGTAGAGGATAGATCATGACTCTTTCTTATAGCATATCATCATACTTAAAAATGAGATTTTTTTTTTCAAAGTTGTAACCTAATAATTTGAAACAATTGGTAAGTTGTCCACTAATGCAATTAAGCTAAGTCCATATCTAAATCTAATCTACAACATTATATAATCTAGGTTATATCACTAGTTTTTGTCCTTTTTATTTGTACTAATAAATATATACAGTATACTTCAAATGTTGTTCATACACATTGTAAAAATTCAGAGGTTTTCTCTCTCTTTTCTTGAGAGCTTTGTTCCTCACCCCAATGGCGTAGGGGTTTCTTACTATTTCAACTAGGCTTGAGTGCAGAATTTTGTCAAGATTCTCAGCAATTTGACCTGTGGTTGATTTTCATGGATGATCTGTCAAATAGATGGGCGAACATATCCCTTGAAGATGGGAGGATGGGTTACGGTCGGTGGTAGCGGAAGACAGGGCTTCCACTGACAGGGCACCGCAAAGATCCTGGACAATTGTAGGGAGATTTTTAACTAGCAAGGCCATTAAGTTCGAGGTTATGAGTAATGTCTTAGCATTCGTCTGGCATCTCCTGCCGGGAGTTCGAGTGTCAGAGCTACAATATAACATGTTTTTGTTTGAATTCTTTGATGAGGCGGATGTTCACTAAGTTCTCAAGGAGGGAATGTGGTTGTTCAAGAATAGTTCATTGCATTGGTGTGCAAACTTCTGAAAATCAGGAAAGGTCCTGACAATGGTGACTTTGGACCGACTAGATTTTTAGGTCCAGGTCTATTACCTCCCACCACGGTTATACAGGAGAACCAGTCCTAGAGTAGGTGGGGAATTACCTAGGTACTTTTGTATCCTACGACGACTCTGGGTTTGGTGGATCATGGAGAAGCTACTATAGGGTGAGGGTTGGGAGGGATGTAATGAAGAAGCCATTGAAAAGGCATATGAAGCGTTATATGAGGAATGGTACATTAGATGGGTCATGTTTAAATACGAGAAACTTCACAATTTTTGCTTCTTTTGCGGAGGGCACACAAACTGATTTTGCCTAAAAGCCAGATATGTCGGGATACCCTGGAGGAGTACCCGTACATGGGTGGATGCAAGGAAGTATGGAAAGAGGAACTCAAGCAATAAGGGCTCCCTGGCTAGTGAATGATCTTACGACGGGGAGGGGATCGATGCTAGAAGGGACGGTTATGGGGGTTTGGGGGATAGGAAAGGGTGACATGCAAGGGAGGGGAATGGGGGCGATGGAGGCTGTAGGCAGTAGGGTGATCGAAAGCGAAGGTGTCATGAGGGACGGTGTGCTTGCAATGCCGAAAAGGAGAAGGGAGGGAAAAGTAGGGATGGGGACGTTGAGATTAGTGAAGGGTAAAAAAAAACCTTTTTATGGCAGGCCATTCCAAACTCGCCCATCCCAATGAGTATGTTGAGTTGGAACTGTCGCGGTTTGGGCAATCCACAAACAATTCGTGAGATACAACACTTGGTCCACTAAGAAGCCTGAATTAGTGTGCTTGATGGAAACAATAGTGAATTGTGTTCATGCAAAAAGGCTCTGGATGAAATTGGGGTACGAGGGTTTATTTTATGTGGATAGTGTGGGGATTGGCTATGTTATGGAAGGTAAATAACATGGCTAGACTGCTAAGCTACTCTTGGAACGATATTGATTTAGTGATTTCAATTTCAGACATGCAACCCTGGCGTTTGACCTGTTATTTTTGATATCAAAAGAGGGGCAAGAGGAGGGAGGCATGGGATCTTCTGCGAGCTTTGAAGATGCGTTCGACGCTACCTTGGGTGGTGATTGGGGACTTTAACGACCTGACCTTCTAGTTAGAGAAAAGTGGACCCCGGCTGCATCTCGAGGGTCTGTTATAGGGTTTTAGCATCACTTTGGATGATTGTGGGCTAACGCACTTGTCAACGATTGGGTACTTGTCTACTTGGGAGAGATGAAAGGGCACATCTGCTTGGGTAGAGGAAAGATTAGATAGTGTGCTTGCGGGTGCGTACTGGTGTGCCATCCATGATAAAGCAAGGGTTTACAATGTCGACACTCGGACCTCGGACCACTCGACCTTGTTCCTTGATTTGTATGAGCTGGTGGTGAGAAGAGGGAGGCGGGGATTTAAGTTCGAGAATCCATGGCTACTTGATGAGGTGTGTAGACTGATGGTGGTGGAGGCGTGGGGGGAGTCAATCGGGTTGGGTTGGTAACATAGGATAAGTCACTTTAATAATAGTGTATGTAGTATTATTCAATACTATTATCTTTTGCTTAATTTTTTTTTTACTCCGCATTATTTTAATTAAGGTCCGTATTATTCAAGTACCTTGTGCTCAGATGCCATGTAGTGACCTCTCTCATATGGAAGGTCATTAGATCGAACCTCAGTGGAGGTGTTGTTGATTCTTTGTGTTTCAATGTAATAGAGAGTTCGTAGCATTCAAAAAAAAAAAAATTAAGGTCCTGTTTGGTAAAATAGTTAGTTTATTAGTCAATTTTGACTTATTTAACCACTATTAGTTGTTTGGCTTGGTTAAACAATTAATATGAGTGTTTGATTAATTAGCTTTTCGTAACAATTTATTGCTTCAAAATGCTAAAATTCAAAAGGTTGCTCAAAGTAGTTTTTTCGATCAGCTTTTTGAGAAAATCATTTTGTATGTAATCAACTATTAACTAATAATAACTTACCAAACACTTTTCTACAATCAGCTAATGATATCAAGTATCAACTAGTCAAACCCACTAATTCAATAAGATAACAGCTATTTATCAAACATTCCATAAATCTTTTCTTTTATGAAATAATGTCTTGTAACACATGTCAAATCTTGCCTAAGTACATTTATGATTAATAAATACGGAGTAGTAATAAAGAAAAAAGTGAATCTTTGTAACACATGTCAAATCTTGCCTAAGTACATTTATGATTAATAATTACGGAGTATATAATAAAGAAAAAAGTGAATCTTTGTAACACATGTCAAATCTTGTATAGTTGTATAGGTCCAATTATGATTAATAAATAGTAATAAAGAAAAATTGAATCACCCACATACAACTTATCAGTCAGATTTATCCTTCCCTTGTCCCAAGGAGGTGGGCCCTACAGAGCATGTGAATCGCGGTGATGGTTCAGTAGACAGATTTGGACATAATTTTCACACTACCGCCGCTGAGGTTTGAACTTTAGTCTCTTGTCTCAAATATTGCTCACTAAACTATTGAGTTAAACCAGTGCGGGTAGATTTATTCTTTCCTTCAATTACAATTAAGGAGCTTTTCGCCATTTTTTGGTACCAACATTATTACAACCTAGCTATTCTTCCTTACAACCTAGCTAGTCTTCCTTAGACCAAGTAACGAATGAAAAATGCAACAACTATTTCCAAATTTTACTTTCAATTTTTACATGATGAAATGTCTTATCATAACTTGGCATGTAAAGAAATAAAAGTCATAAGGTAAGAAAAAAAGTATGTATAGTAAAATTCGTAATGAATACACCATGTAGGCAAGTAATGACCTCGTTTCTCATTTGTTAAAATTGATAATAAATTATACTCTGTATCTTGGACTTACCATATTATAGGTTTATGTAATAATATGAACTTATATCTATTAAAATATTAAAATAATACAAGTAGAGAAGCCGACCAGTCTGGCCGCTTTCTCTAGCGAAGGTGACTGGGGATCAAATTTTTTTTTTTTTTTTTTAATGGCAGTAATTTTATTTTTTACGACAACGGTTAGCGATGGTCAACAATGACCTACATGTCACATCATTGTAATTTTACAAATAACTTATTGATTACCGGTAAACAAGACTTATTTGACAAATTTTAACTTTAGAACCAAATAGAATCATATGATTGGCATGGTAGATGAAGTAATAATTATTAATGGTTTTCTGAACTCATTCTTTATCAATTTAGCAAACTGGAATACAAAATGACGACTGCTAGGCTGGAAGGAAGCTACCCCCTCAGACGTATTAGTCATTTCCGAATAGAAATCCAGAAAAAAATGAAACTTCATAGTACGAGTATATGGACATCCAGGGACGGTGAAGCTAAAAGGAAGCTACCCTCAGACATATTAGCCATTTCCTAACAAAAATCCAGAAAAATGAAACTTCCATAGTGTGAGTAATATGGACATCCAGGGATAAGGATTGTCCTACTGGCTACTGTGGCTGAAAGCAATTGTAAAAAAGGTCATATATGAGGCAAATTATATTATGCACCGCGGTGCATAATCGATTATGCACCGCGCGTTTTTTTTTTTTAAATGAAAATTAACAGTGTTTATTTCCGTCGTTTCGCACCCTTTTGCAAAAAGTAACTCTATTATTCAGTGTCATTTTGTATACACTGCAGTTTCAGTTGAACACAACTACAGTTTCATTTCGATATAACTATAGTTTCATTCGATATTTATAAACTCAAATATGTGAAAATGTTATTTAATTTTATTTTATATACACTATAGTTTTATTAAAACACAACTACATGATCATTTTGATATAATTGCAGCTTCATTGTACAATATACACTCAAATATGTGAAATGTTATTCAGTTTCAGTTTATATACACTGCAGTTTCATTTCACTATAACTACAGTATCATTTTGATATAACTGCAGTATCGGTTTGGATATACTGTAGTGTCAGTTGGTGTTTAATACACCAAACAAACGGACTCCGTTAACTCTAACGGCGGGCCGTTTCTTTACTTAAAGAAACGGCGCCGTATATGGGCCGCGGTGCATAATCGATTATGCACCGCGGTCTATAATATAACAACTGATATATGATGGTCAGGGCCCGCCCTGGGGTAAGGGCAGGCTGGGCCCTTGCCGGCCCATGTTTGGGAAAGACCCCATCCTATCTCTTATATATATAGTATATATGTATTAAGTTTAAGTAATTTATATACATATGTTTTATAGTAAGGTGAATTAGTTTGGTTGGTAAGATACGTGAATTTTATAACCTCATTTAATCAAAGGCCTGTGATCCAATCCTTCCCTCCACATTTTAGAATTCCTCAACTTTACTTCTTTGCTTATATTCTAATGTATCTTTTAAAAATTATTTTATTGATTTTTTTGTGTTTAATACGGAGTAGTATTTTTAATGTAGCTTTTAAATATATAAATTTTCATATATTTATACTAAACATATTATAATTTTTTTTATATTAAATATATAAATTTTTATATTAAATTTTTAATGCAGTTTCTAAATTTATAAATTTTTATATACTTATACTAAACATATTATAAAAAATTGAATTAAAAAAAAATTCAATCAACTCATGTTAACCAAACAAGACACATAAAAACAGGACGGAGGGGATTATATGATATATTTTGAGATTGAATTATAAAAAACAATTAAAAGATAATTTACTACGTACCTTTTTATGAATATCTAATCAATGTAATACAGAAGCTTCTATCATGTGTCATTATGTTCAAATTATTCTAAAAAAGTTTGAAATTTATGTATTTAAAAGAAAAAGTATTTATAAAAATCATATAAATAATATAAAAGATGTGTGATTTATAATATGCTTTATGTTCAAACTATTTTATCTAGATAATTATGTTTCATATCTTTTTACATTTTTTTATTACATTTTAAAATATTTTAATTTCTTGCTCCTAGTCAAAAAAAAAGATTTTTAGCTTCACATTGTGTTTGTAATTATTGTTTTATAAATTTTTAATAATAATTAATTTATTATTTATTATGATAACAATGTTATTGTTTATGAGTTTACTCGATTTTAAATTATTTATTCATTTTTATAAACTATAATAATTATTTATTTATGAAGACACTCATACGATTATTTATTATTTTGCATTAAAGAAAGCACCTAGAATTTTTTTCAATGATTATTATTGTGTATGTAAAATTGTTAAAAACTTGTTAATCTTATCTAAAGTTATTGATATTAATAATTTTTTCTTATTTAATTTAAATTTTAGGCATGAAATATATATTAACCGGGGCCCATTTTTTTGTCTTGTCCCGGGCCTATAAAATGATAGGATCCCCTGATGAAGGTTCCTGTAAAGTGTAAACTAGTTGCATGAGCCACAAAGTTTATGGCGTGACAAGCCGAGTACTAGCAGTTAGCTCGCTCCCCAACTTCTCATATGCATCCAAAAAACCGATTGAATTGTTATTTGTTAGTAGATCAAACCCTTCTCAATTAAATGTACATTCCATTTTCAATGATTTACCTTTCTATGATGCAAGACATAACCTCAAGCACTATGAAATGTGGTGAAAAAAGATAATAAACCGAAAAATGTAAATGAAAGTCATACGTACAATGGCCTTTTCTAAGAACTGATTCTTCAAACGACTGCAAACTGGAGCACAGGTATTACTGAACCACAACCAGTAATATTCTACAGGCATGGCAAGATGGCTGTGTTAATGGATCCATTTAGCTCTGTATTTACAACATGCCACTACAGCCACCTTGATTCATAAAGCTATCAACGATCTGCAAGAAAGTGAGAAACCACCTAGAGATCACTCAAACCTAGCCAGGACATTGACCATTCTCCGTTGGAAGTTGCCAACTTCCTGATTTTTCGTTCGACGGTGGTGAGAAAGTTGTTTCTGCAATACAGATGGTTTTGCATCTTTCATCAGATAGTGGGATTCTAGACATTCTTTAAACCACAATTGGTATATTGTGAACCCCATATCACATAGATATCTCATCCACAATGAAAATCATTCAAAACTATGATGGGCAGTTGGGCATTCACATCAGTGGCAATGAACATTACAATGATGACATTTACTTCAAAAGTAATAAGGTCAATGATGAATAGATATGGAAATTGTGATGAACATTTGCTGCAAGGCTTGCTGCTTCCTTTAAACCATTAAAGGGCATTAGCATTTGAAATCCTAATATGTTCATCTTCTGTCTGGGTATAATGTCATATATGTTGGCATGTTGCAGCTACAGAACTAAAGGTCACAGAATGAATTAACTAACCTTTTATGCTTGCATAAGTGACGAGTTCGTTAAGAAAACTACAGAATGTAGTCAAGATGATCTTTTCTTGTTCTGCATATAAAGTGCTGAAGTGATCCCCGGAAGATGTATTTAAACTTATCCTTGCATTGCAACCCGAAATCCCAGTTGCAAATTCAGCTGCTGGGACCAAGTCATGGCTGTTGTCACACATCAATGCCCGTGTCTCAGAAGACACTGCTCTTCGATTTTGAAAATCATCTGAGTATTTTTATAAAATACCAATGTGAATAACAGATTGGTTAATACAAGTTTGATTCGCATTAAAAAAGTGATATAAACTACTTCAGATCTCGTGTCCAGCATATAACAGGATAAATCAGAGTGAAGTATTAGGCAAAGGAAATGAAATCATAGGATGTACCCAAAATAGTAGAGGGACGATTATCATCCATTGGGAAATTTAAGAGATTGGGTGGGACGCAGAGGGTTTTGAATCAGACTCCAAAATGTGTTTCATTCCCAATTGTATACATAAGTTTCAACCCCAAACTTAAGGGCCCCTCACGCCCATGCCCTTGGGTTTTGTGAGGAGAGGGAAATTACGGGATGTGCCTCAGTGCCGCAGTGATCTATGTGTTCCATTCCCAATTGGATACATGCACATGCATAGACTTCGGTACCAATCTTAACTATTAATTTCCCTTGGAAGACTTAATTATGACTATAAGAAGTTGTTTCTTGACCTGTTAGCATCTTTGCAGCTTCTTTGGATAGCGTGACCAAGAGTGAGCAAAGTTCCGCAACATTTTGCAATTGGATGATGCTAGCTAACAAAGACCTTCAATCAAAATCAATAATAGAAAATTGTCACTAGTGTCTGACCAAGTAGAACCACCTTCTCTCAGAAGTCTCAGCCAATAAGAACATTTATTTTGTGAATGCCACCTGTACTTGCAGTTAGATGACTCTGGAACTGATTGGATTGCAAAGTCATATGGTGTAGCACACAGTGGACCAGAAGAGGCATCCTGATAACAGAAAATTAGAATTTTGGATTCAACATAACCTTGAATTATGGAAGAAGTTGTGAGACCATGAAAGTAAAGATGAGTTAAATCAGAATACTATGATATTCTCAAACGCACATCATTCTGCACAAAATTATATACTAGCTAGGTTAAAGCAGACACCACAGTCCTGTTTCTGGATGTTTTACCAACTAGTCTATTGCACAATATGATTATTTACTAATTTTATATTTTGACATACAATTACACTATTGATAAAACAAACTCCATTAGAGAGGGATATGATAGATCATTTCTATGTAGGAATGATTAAAATAAGAATCATGTGATACCAAGACAAAATGTATGTTTTGTGGAAGTGATACAATAGGAGATACGAATATAAACCCTTTCCCTTTATTTATAAAACTTAGTCAAATTCACAATGGTGCTTGAAGACTAAGATATCAATAGCTTTTCTTCCTCACATAAAAATAAATGGGCATATAAAAGCTACATGTAAGTTACTTAAGCAGCCAGATATCAGTTAAAACAAGAAACCACACCCATGTTAAACACTGAAAAGGGTGCACTTGGTGAAGGTGGATGAGGCCAACGGGTGGAGAGATATGTCAAATTAAGCATTTCAGAACATGCTAGTGTTAGATTTACATGTTACCTGTTGGGATTGTGAAAACTTATTGGATTTATCAGTAGAATTGTCTCCTGAAGGCATTTCCCCATTCTTTCTTTTCTTTGTAGGTGGTGTAGGAACAAACCAAGAATTACTAATAGCTCCATTGATAGGTGCGTGGGCTTGGATGAATGCAGCTAGATTTGTATGAGCCCAATGGAAAAGAGAGCTTTTCCCGTTGCTTCCATCAAAATTCTTACAATCTGCACATTTACAGTTTCCAGAGCAAAGAATATTAGCCTGGAAACACTCACAGTACTTCTTGAGACATCCAGATTTCTTGCAATTGCATCCTCTATTGTGTTTTCCTGAAGGCGAATCTTCACCAACTTCCACCTGAATTCCTCAAAGAAGTCAAGAAAGACAATGTTGAGCATTTGGCCACTACAATTCAACCTTCCATTAAATAAAATGCTTAAAACTTTAAATTCAAATAATATAGAAAAGAGACTCTAGTTCTTGCTATTCAAACAACACAATCACAAGATCATGTTCAGCAACATTTTTATGGTAAAATGATATACTGTATTAATAGCAATCTAATATTAAACAATTAAAGAGTGTTCCTTCAATGACCTAATTAAGTATTCATGAGAAGAAAAAAAAGTCTAAATCCATTAAAAATGGCATCTAGTTCCTACATCTTTTCTTTTGTTCTTCATAGAGTAATTATTTCAGCAACTTTGTGTTCCTTAAAAAAAAACAGCAACATGAAATTATCTAAAAACCAAACCACCCAAAATTGTGAAAGCATATCATAAGATTATTACTATCTGCCTGTTCAAACATTACATAAGTCTATTTCTTTCTGTCACAAGTTATATAACTCCATGAGCATCCCTTCATTTGCAAGAGGCAGAATTTACATTTATACACCTATTTGTTTATACAAAACTAGCAGGCAATTATATGCTACTTAACATTTCTGGTTCATCGACCTAAATTCTCGTTGAATTTTCATAAAAGACAACTTAAGTACTTCAACACTAAAATGAAAGTAGCACAGCCAACAGTCACTTACTCCACATTATTGACATTAAAGCAATAAAAAACAGAAAAGGAACATGTAAAAAGAAGAAAATAAAACAATGGGTGACAGACACCATTAAAATACTTAAAGATTTAGTTTAACATTGACATAAGGTTTACATAAGTTTGTTAAGATAATTGAGATCTCAAATTACATACCACACCATTCTTTAGTCCCTGAGGGCTGCTAGTGATCTTTGGTCTGAAGGCATTTGGATTCCGTTCCAAGATTGCACTGAGTGCAATCTTCCTATTGACTTCATTCTCTATGTTGTTTTGACAGTTTTGACAGTTACATCCATCACAATAAATTCCAGAGGCAAAGCATTCACAATACCTGGTAAATACTGAAATTAACACCATCTACACCCAATATATGGAGAAAAACAAACATGCTTATTGGAAGTATAAAGCATTTCTTACACCCTGTTTATTTCCATAAACAAATATAAAATTTTTTATGAGTAAAATGTTTAACGTTATTCACTGAATTGAAAAGTTTGTAAATACTAAACAATTTTCTTGGAAACTTCACTTTTACACCTATAGAGATCAAAAGACAAGTAAAACATTTAACACATTTTTTCTTCCACTGCTCCCACGCAAACTCCTCTGTTAGAAACAATGGTTAAGACTTTGACCATCAACTGCTCCCATGCAAACAGCATTTAACTCAGATGTCTCTAAAATTAGCAACTGAAGGACTCTACGATCATGGTATAAAGTAACTGAAATAATGACAAAGTTCTCCTGTTTAAATTTCAATAAATAAGCAGGTTTCACTGCAAGTTCCAACATACTTACAATTTTAAACATCGAGAATTCTTACAATTGCATTGCTTTTGCTTCTTGGGAGTACCATTCTTCTGTCTCATAGTGGAATTGTATTGCGAGTTAGGAGGCTCTGTCTTGCTAACAAGAGACATACATCCATAAGTGCCAAATAATGATAAGAACTCCAAAATTTAGTTAGACTAAGCCACCAAATACAAGATAAAATGGACAGTTCAAGTAAGCAACTGACCTTATGTCTATATCCTCTTGGAAGTGACAGCACAAGTAAAAGTCAAAACATTTCAAGAATGATATCCAACATAACGATTAATTACAAAATTATTACTAACTTGATAGTCTGCATATATTAAAGGTTGGAATTTTCTTTTGGGAGAACTCCCTACTTGAAGTTGTACATCTCTCCCATATTAGTTTTTGGTAGCATAATTGTTTTTTTTTTTTTTTTTTAGAGTACAACACCTTAGAAACTCCCATTAAAGCCCAATTTTAGACGTATTAATTGAATATTAAATGAACTAAGCAGTTTTATAAAGCTGAACACTCTAATTAAAAATTCTGTGTATTCTCTTCTTCTTAACAAGTGTTTCATTTAGTAACAACATTATCACAACGCTCTACGCATTTTTCGCCTAATCAAAACCTCAAGATTTAGCTTTCTGGTAAAATCACGTACATTAGTGAAACGAAACAACTCTAGAAAATCATTTTCTAGCAAAAATAATACGAAATAAAACGTTTCTACAGCTTAGAAAATATACATACTTCAATACTTACACGACTTGCTGCATTATTGGAGGCAGCGATTGTACCGGACGAGTCCTAAATACTCGTGCCACTGCCTGCGTTGGCCGCGGCGAATTTAACCGTGTCGTTGACGGTAGTATTGTCTTAACCTGCGCCATCGACGGAGGCGGTGGTGGTGATTGTGTAGCAAACATCATTGCTTGCCTCTTAGCGAGTGCGAGCAACTTCGATTGCAAAAGTGCTTGCGGATGCTCCGACAATATCTCAATCGCCGAGGATTTACGCCTCACCGTGAAATCAAACTGCCTCCCTAGCTTCTTCAATGGAAGCTCACTCGCCTCTGTCTTCGAAAATGCCGTCACGTCACTCTCCTCCATGACGCAACTTCTCCTCTTCAACTTATAATTCAGTCAGAAAATGAACATTGAATTAATTTCTCGAAATTATTCAGTTGCCGGAATATGATGTCACTCATAGTAAAATGGATGAAAGCTCGTCGGAATTTGATGTCTCGCGACATCCACTAAGAAGTCTAATAAGAGAGAAGAAGAGATAAAGAGACAGGCAGAGAGCTTAGAGGTTTTTCCGACTGACTGTTCTACGTTTGAAATTAAATTTTGTGAAACAAATTACGGCGCGATCAAGGGCATTGGATGATCCGACGGTAATGATTGAAATGAAATGTTCTACCTGACATATAAGAGTTGAGGGAAAAAGGAAAATAGGAACCACTCTCATTTCTTATTCTTAATTTTTATTTTTTTTCACAAATTTTTGATCTAGATATATTTTTAGGGACTTACATGATAAAATAGTCAATTTTATTTACCATGTCATAGAATTATAATATTTACAAACAGTGTACGTTGTTTTTTACATTTATTCTGATTCTCACATATAAGTATATATATAATAGCGATTTAGTTTTGATTTTGAACCGCCGGTTCACAGTTCCGGATTCAGTTTGAAATGCTGGTTCAAATTTTATTTTAAAATTTTATTTTTTATTTTTAAAATAGTCTAAATTAAATAATAAATGTATTTTTTCCAGTTCGGAACATGAATCGTCCGTTCCGGTTCGCAATTTTAATAAACTCTAAATATCGGGTTTTGATTCTAAATTGTAATCGGAATATTTCGGTTTGGTTGCTATAGTGTCTGTTCGGTTTGAACCAAATCATGGTCATAATTTGTTGGAGAAGAAAAATAAATGAAATATTTATTTTAAGGGTAAATATGTCCATTTAACATTTCAGGGAAAAAAATTGACACTTAAATAATTCAGGAGAAAAAGTGCTATAAGTATATAACACAAGGGAAAAAAGTGTTATTTTCCCTATAAATCCTACAATCTATGTTTAATTATAATTATACTAATATTATGGTAATTATTAACTTAATTACTATAATAGTTATTATTAGTTAATTATACTAATATTCGCGTAATTATTAGTTTAATTATCATAATAATTATTAGATTTTATATACCGATAGCTTGAGAGGTAGTTTTGGCGGGAAGTTGTAAAAGTAAAATTTTGTTTTTATTGGTAGTATAGATGGGTGTTAATAATTTGAATAAATATTTTAGGCATGTGAATGATTAAAATACTGACTAACTCTGAACACCATATGGAGTTGTTATATTAAAGAAAGAACGAATCCATATTCCATAATTTGAGTGGTAGAATTGAGTTTTTTTTTTTTTTTTTTTCTTTTTTGTTGCAAAATTAGTAATGGACTAATGGTAATTGATTCATGTTCCTAGCCTTTATTCGTTTGTTAGTTGCTATTTTGTTTCATGGTCATTCAACTATTTTTAATTTCCTGCCTTTGTTTTTAACTTGCATATTCATTTGGTTTAATTAATTTTGATTGACATTTTGTTTTGAACATTTTAAATTATTGAGCTTAACTATTTTCAAGTTTATTTATTGCGTTGTATTAATTTCCTATGGGTTCGATCCTTGCTTTGCATGTTAAACTACAATTGACTATTAACTCGTGTACTTGTGAGGATATTATAAAATTATCTTGTCACTAGGTTGATTAATTAGAATCCCTTCTAGATCATCAAAATCTTCCTAATGATTGCATTAGCGATTTATGTGTTCTACTGAATGATTTGACTTAGCTTGAACACAGATGATTGATGTCACCCTATACCTCTAGGGTTGCAAAGTTCATGCATCAATTAATAATACAATAAGCCGGTAATTATTGACTATTTGACTCAAGAAAAGTAAAGAAACAAAATCTTAAAATGCGTAGATTTGGAAGATTAATATCTTTATAGGGAACAATATTTTTCTTGAAACAACCATGAACATTAGGCCTTGAAGGCCGCCAATAATTAATGGTTGTACCATATTGTAGTTTTAATGAGACAACTAGTGTAACACATGAGAATACACAAAAAATTATGTAATTTGATCTTTTTATCAACTAAGAATTTTCTATGGGATTTCTCTAGCGAGATTTTTAACAAAGTATGTGTATAATATAGTAACGCATAAGGGAGAGTGGTGTAAATAAATAAATGAATGTGGACACTACTAGATGAGTTTTATTACAATAATACTAGTATTTGTCCCGTGCGATGCACGGAAAATATGTTATAAAAATATACCCTATATGAGGTTTATTCATATATAAAATTTTTGTTATTAAATAATTATTATGTGTGAATTCCTATGATAAAATTATGAACATAAATATATTTACAATTAAAATAATATTTAAGGTGGGTGATTACTACAAATCTTAAACTATATTAAAAATTTAGTACATATAGTATTTAATACGGAGTATTACAAATTTTTAAGAATTTAGTAAACTACAATAGTAATTGAATTACAATTTTAGAGTCACCACGGATCAAAATTTTTAGACCTTTGAGATTTCTAACTCTAGATGTAGCAACATACAATTGACCTTTAAAGACCAAAATCATAATCTTAGTTCGAACATTGATTTTTTCTTTCAAATACTATCGAATTAAGTGTGTAATCAATAAAAGATGAGAACTAATAATTCGAAAATATAATCTTAATGTTACTAAGCCTACTTCACGTCAATTAAGTTGGAGAGTGTTGTTGGATAGTATCCGATGAATCCACGAATAGCGCATCTTTATCTCCGTAGTCCTCAATATGCACATCAACAATCTTAAATATTAGGCCGCCTAGCTATGCCATATATTAATTTCAAACTTATGAACTTTGGGGTTGCATGCAATAAAAAGTATATTTTACATATACTAAGGGTACATTATATATGTATGTAAGGTACTTTCAATATAAAAATAATGTATTTTTAATATATTAAAAATATATTTGATATTCATGATCCATACAATTATGTGGACCATCGTTCACACAATAATTTGCCAGTAGAAATTGAAATATATATATATATTAATTAGAAACTGTCAGTGGAAATTATTATTATCATTATTATTATTGTAAATATTATTATTATTGTTATTGTTATTATAATTAACAATATTATTATGGTCTTGTGAAAATTAAATGTGATTATCATCATTTAATTTTCACAAGACCATATGGCTTTATTATATATTATTATTATATAGGATGTATCTTAATTTACATCTTTTATAGACTTAGAGATTTACTAAAACTCTTTAATTTATATCATGTATATATAATTAGATTAAAAGATGAATAGGAAGATTAATGGTTCTTTCATTCGATCTCTTTGTATCTCTTGCCTTCTCTCTTACTATTATATCTATTGCATTTCTAAGATGAGAATGATATAATGATTCACACACAGTGAAGATCTTAACTTACAATAATTTGTAAATATTTGTTGATGTTAATTAGTTTCACCATAAACCTAGAAAGTTATACCAATTGTCTTTTGGTAAAGTAGAGAGATTTAAAGAAATGTGGCAACCTGTTATCTGGATTGAATTAATTCATTAAAGTAACTAATAAATTAATTTCTATTGGTTTTCAAAAAAAAAAAAAAAAATTCTATTGGGTAAGTTTGGACTTGAAAAAAGCGGCAAATTATATCGTATCTATTATCCACCGAGTTTCAAAACCACGTCGTTTTGTTTAATGAAAAGAAACGACACTCATTTCGCTCCGTTTTGCGCCGTTTCGCAAAAAGTAACTCTGTTATTTAGTTTCATTTTGTATACACTGCAATTTCAGTTTAACACAACTACAGTTTCATTTCGATATAACTACAATTTCATTCGACATTTATACACTCAAATATGTGAAAATGTTATTTACTTTTACTAGTATTTGCGCCCGTGCGATGCACGGAATAAATTTGTTGTAATATATTAAGAATATTTAGATTGACATATAATTATTTAAATTAGAATATCAAATATTATTTTGTGCAATTGAAAATATGATTTGGATCGTTTATATGTTTTGATGTTATCATTGCTTGAATTTGAGCAAATAATTGCTCAAATTAATAGCTAATGTGTAGATGTACGCATGCGGTGCTGTAACTTTGAAGATTTTATTTATCATTGTTTAGTATTTTTATAAATTAGGCAAACGTGCTCATTCTTTAACAACTCAGTTATAGGAATGAATTGCTATCCTAATTCATTTGTATGGAAAATATATTTTTTGTCTATATATATATATATATATATATATATATATATATATATATATATATATATATATATATATATATATATATATATATATATATATATATATATATATATATATATATATATAGCAATTTTGTCATTTAAAAGAACATAGTATCAACGATTGTATTTAAACATTATTGAAACCTCATTGTATACGACATTGGTAGTAGCAAAAAATCTTGTCAATCCTCGTCTATAGTTAACATCTTTAGTCCATTACGATGGGTGACTCGGGTGAAAATATATATTCGTAGAATACCAGTCAATTAGTGATCCTTTTATATTTCTTTTATATTTTCAGTCAATTAGTAATACCATATTAATTGATGATGTAGAATATTATTATTGAAATATTTCCATTCTATTTTTAATTTACCTTTACTATATATGCATTTACTATTGATGATGTAGAATATTATTATTGAAATATTTCCGTCCAATTTTAAATTAAAATGCAATGATTTGACCATTTTTTTTTCCAGTTTAGTCAATTATGAAAAATTTTTATTTGTAGTCAATCTTTTTATATTTTCAGTCAATTAGTAATATCATATTCATTTTCAGCCAATTATTTTTTCTTTTTCAGTCCATGAGTCAATTAGAAATCATATGCAGTGATATTTTTACATAATTTTTCATTCCATTTTTAACTGATGATGTAGAATATTATTATTGAAATATTTTTGTTTTATTTTTAATTTTCGTTCTATTTTTAATTTACCTTTACTATTGTTTAAAATATGCTTTTAATATTGATGATGTAGAACATTCTTATTGAAATATTTTGTTTTCATTTTAAATTTACCTTTACTTGATGATGTAGAATATTATTATTAAAATATTTTTGTTCTATTTTTAATTTATGTTCCATTGTTTAAATTTGTGAAATATTTATGATATAATTGTGATTTGATTTATTCTACTGTGTAATATTATAGTGAAAAATTTAAAAGTAATGATCTGACCATTTCCTTTTCCATTTTAGTCAATTATGGATCTTTTTTTTTTTCCAGCCAATTATTAATATATATATTTTTTCAATTAACCTAATTTCCGTTCTATTTTCAATTGTTAATTTTCAGTCAATTATTAATATTCATTTCCTTTTCCAATTTACCTCATTTTCGTTCCATTTTTATTTGATAATGTAGAATATTATTGTGAAATATTTTTGTTCCTTTTTAATTTTCGTTTTTTTTTTTAAATTTATCTTTACTATTTATATGATATTGTTTTTAATTATAGTATAGATTATAAATTAAGAGGGTTGGTCACCATTATGATTTTTATTATATTACGAATTAAAATTAGGATTTTTATTATACTTGAACAATAATATTACTAATTATATTATAGAATATAATACCATACATAATATTACCAATTAATAGATTTTAGTTAACTTTCATTTTACATTTTCTTACCAAATAAGCCTTACTAATTATTTGACCAATAAAATATTTAATTAATTGACTACAAAAGTTTAGGTAGGAAAAATTAAATATGAGAATTTTGATTTTTTATATATATATATATATATATATATATATATATATATATATATATATATATATATATATATATATATATATATATATTAACTAAGCTATAACACTATAATAATTAAAGAATTAATTTTATGTACTAAATGGTCAAATTTAATGTACCAAAATATTAAGTATTTATTAAAATAATTGCCTAATATACTTATTTTATACTTAAGGTATAATATTATTAGTACAAAATAAATTATAGTTCTCTTTTTCCATGGAAATATTAAGTATTTACTAAAATAATTGTCTTATATATATATATATATATATATATATATATATATATATATATATATATATATATATATATATATATATATATATATATATATATATAGTTTAGGAAAATATTCATTATTGAAAAGGGAATATAATTTAAAAAGTCAATTATTAATTAGATTGCCTAATATAATTGTCCCACTAATTGATTCCATGCTACTATAATTCATATATTTAAAAATTTTTTAAAGTTAAATACATATTAACTGCCTTAATAATTAAGTTAATTATTAGTCACATCTATAGTACTAAAAGTATTACTTTTAGTTTTTATAAATAAGACATAATATTATTCAATCAAAATAATAAAAAATAATTTGTTCAAAGTACAAAAGATTTTATAATTGACTTAATAATTAACTATTAATTTTTATTGCCTAATACAAATTGTCAATTATTAAATATTATTTGATAATTATTGCATGTCATGTAATACTAAAATTGTTAGGTAGAATTTTTATAATTAAGGTATAATATTATTTAATTGAAATTATTAAAAATATATAGATCCACATTAAGAAAAACCTTATTAATTTCGAATATTAAAACTATATATTAGGATTAAAGTTGAAGTTATAAATAATTAAGTTTTAATAAATTTATTTATTCCCTAAGTTATATATGGTTAATAATGAATATTTTTCTATATTAGATTATGCTTATATATGGTTTATCCGTATTAACCATCACTATATTAGATTAATATATAATTCATTTAATATAATATGTTATTAAATCTAAACATATGATTAATATTTATTCAATATTATTATGAAAGTATTACGATTATAAATTTTATTATATTTTAAATGACTTAGCATATCAAAGCAAACATGGTAAGTCAATAACATTATTTCACATTAGAAAAGTGATTTGAATCAAGGGAAGTCAGCTAAAGAATAAAATCAAAATAATACTCTATTCAAACTAAGCTACAGTACTTCATAATTTTTTTGTCTCAAAAAAAAAAAAAGTTTAAATGGCAAGAAAAACCTCTTGAAGGGAAAGACACAATACTCTCTTATTACAAAAAAATGCACACTTTAAAGACGAAGAGATTGAATTGAAACAAAGTTCAACACTTTGATATATTGACAACTAAAAAATGCTTTGAATTTCATTTTGGTTTTACTGTTTTCTTATCAGGCTACCCTCTATATCTCTTTACATATACACAGAATCCGTCCCTCCTCAAACTTTATCCACTTGATGAGCAATGAACTCTATTGCTACCCGATCAATCTTTCTAGATCTGTATCTTCTCCACAAAAAAAAAAAAAAGAAAAAGAAAAAAAGAGAGAGAATATATCAACATTTTTTTTTATTACAAATCACTTTTCTTATTTAAATATCAGAAATCCAAAAAAAAAAAAAAAATCTATGTGGAGTGTGGACGAATTCAAAGAACCAATATATGAAAACAGTTCATGCATGCACACAACCAGATTATCTATGTGTATGAATAAATTTTAAATAAGAATTAAAAAAATACACCGGAGAGAATTTACAAAAATATTGTTGTTCGAAACTTCATTCCCCAAGTTGGATACATAAAGCTTTGTCCAACGTTATGAGAAAATTTCTATTCGCTTTTGAAATGTCTGCACACGAAAGACATGTTGATAAACATACACATACATGCTATGTGGAAAACTCGAAAATTGAAAAGAAAATCGAGAGAGAATACACACGAAAGAAAATCCACCATTCTTGAAAAACTCTTAAAGAGAGAATCTGATTCTTGAATCTCTGATCGAGTAGTACAGGGAGAGGCAAATCCTATCATTTTATAGCCACAAAAAATTGACCATATATGAAATTAATACTCTGTAAATATTTTACAATTAAAATTAAAATTAAAAAATAATAAACGGATACTGATTCTATATATATACTCTGTATTGATTATGGTATTTCATAATTATGGTATTGCATAGGATTCACATATGCAATACCATAAATATGCAATATTATTACCAATTAATATATTAATATATGTTAATTAATTTTCATTCAATATTTGGTTACCAAATAAGGTTTATTAATTATTTGACCAATAATTAAAACTAAAATATTTAAGTAATTGAGTAAAAAAGTTTGGGCGGGAAAATGATGTAGGAGGATTTTACTTTTATATATATATATATATATATATATATATATATATATATATATATATATATATATATATATATATATATATATATAGATTTTATATACACTATATAGTTTCATTAAAACCCAACTACATGATCATTTCGATATAACTACAACTTCATTGCATAATATACACTCAAATATGTGAAATGTTATTCAGTTTCATTTTATATAAACTGCATGCAGTTTCATTTCACCACAACTACAGTATCATTTTGATATAACTGCAGTTTCATTTGATAATATATAAAATAATACGTGAGGCAGTATCGTTTTAGATACACTATAGTGTCAGTTCATATACACTAGTTTCAGTTGATAATTAACACACTAAAAAATACGCGCTCCGTTACAGTAATGACGCTGTTTCTTTTAAAGAAACGACGCAATTTTAACAGCGGTGCACATGCACCGCGGTCCATGATATAACGACTAGAAAAAAACTAGTACCGTTAGACACAAAATTAGTGGTATTAACATTTATCCATTTCTTTAATTAATCGGTCCAAGAATATAATTCACATAAAAGTTTTCAGATTCCTTGTATTCTCTCTTATGATGACTAGAGTATGAGCATTTTACCTTTTCATGCCCGCAATAGCTTAGTTCATTGATTTAGTAGGAAGCACTACAAGAAAAATGCACATAGACAACGGTTAATAACCGTTGTCGTAGGGGTATAATTTCTGTTGTTGAAGCCGGTGTTGTTGTAAGTCCCGCGCATAGACAACGGTTTTTTAACCGTTGTCTTTTCTAGAAACAACAACGGTTTTTTAACCGTTGTCTATTAAGTGTTGTTGAAGCCGGTGTTGTTGTAAGTCACGCACATAGACAACGGTTAATAACCGTTGTCTTTTCTAGAAACGACAACGGTTTTTTAACCGTTGTCTATTAAGTGTTGTTGAAGCTGGTGTTGTTGTAAGTCACGCACATAGACAACGGTTAATAACCGTTGTCTTTTCTAGAAACGACAACGGTTTTTTAACTGTTGTATATTAAGTGTTGTTGAAACCGGTGTTATTAAAAGTCACGCACATAGACAACGGTTAATAACCGTTGACTTTTCTAGAAACGACAACGGTTTTTTAACCGTTGTCTATTAAGTGTTGTTGAAACCGGTGTTGTTAAAAGTCACGCACATAGACAACGGTTTTTAACCGTTGTCTTTTCTATAAACGACAACGGTGTTTTAACCGTTGTCTATTAAGTGTTGTTGAAACCGGTGTTGTTAAAAGTCACGAACATAGACAACGGTTTTAAACCGTTGTCGTTTCTTCCAAAGACAACGGTTTTTGACCCGTTGTCAATTCAATGTTGTTGAAACCGGTGTTGTTAAAAGTGATGCACATAGACAACGGTTTTTAACTGTTGTCTTTTGTAAAAAAGACAACAGTTTTTAACCATTGTCTCAACGATTTTTAATCGTTTTTAACCTGCTTAAATTTTAATCATATAAAAAATCAATTTATCCATTCACCATGGCCAAGTGTAGTTACATAATTTTGCACAAGCTAAGGTTCAAAATACAAAAGAACTAATTAACAAGTCTAAATACTTCCATGACCAATTCAAATCGAATCATATATCATCTAAGTCATAATACTACAAAAAAACAATTCCACAAACCAAGTCTAAATGATCACAACGTTCTAATGATCAAATCATACCTACTCTATATAACTTGATAGAATATCGGTCCATTCTAAATGTGAAGTCTAGAGCTAAGAGAGATAATAAACTCTATAGCATGATACCTTTGCATCTCTCCAAACTATTAACTGCATACTGCCACCAACATTGGACCATAGGAGGAAGTGTGTAGTAAAGCTGCAAACAATCACAAAAAATAATAAGTTTCAACAAAAAAAAAAAAAAAAAGCTCACTAATAATAAGTTCAAGTATAATTAGCTAGTCAGAAGACAAATACGGGAGTTTTATCTTTTTGAAAAAGAAAGAAAGACAAATGGTAGATACAAAATAAAGGTAGCAACTCCTGGCTTAAGGAGTTCATAGTACATAGCACCAAAAAAATCATAGTATTAGAAAACAAAAAAGACTATGAAAACAGAGATGAACTTAAAATTACACACAACATGTTGGAATTTTTTTAGGTAGATGAATGGGCAAACAAGAACATTGAGAATGCAAAAGAGTAATAATTTGCATGTAGAATCCAAAGCCCTTACTCATTCCTTTATCATCTCGCAAAAGTTTTGCAAAAGTAATCAGAAGTTTTGCAGTCCCTGTAAACTTCACATATCATTACAGGGATAATTAGAACTTACTACTCATGTTTTCTTCCCTCCACTAATTTCATAGTTATAGTGATATCCTAATAGCACTTCATTGATGGGTTGCGTTTAGTTTATGCCACCATTATTCACTATAATTAAGCCAGGAATAGACTCCAGCTGACAGAAGAACATATATCCAAACAGGGCATGATATGAAAATAAATAAAATAATTGTAATGAGACAAACCTCGGTAGCTGCTCCTTCGTCATCTTTGTACCCAAGTTTTTCTAAGATTTCATATATGGCAGTCAAGTCCGATCTCAAGCAAGCTTCACCAAGAGGAGATAAAAACATAAATTCACCATTCACTGGTATATACCCATTAATACATGAGACAGAACCTGAATACCAAGTTTTCATAACTTCAATTAGTCACGTTATCTAGTTAATCAAATAATCCATTACAACATGCTCATCAGATGAGAAAACAGATCAAAATGGCTAGATGAACCCGTAAGGCGTAAACAATGCATAAAACTAGACAGACAAATATAAATAGTGCAACTGTTAAAAGACTTCTTTAATATGAAAAGCAGCCTCAAGTCTCCTCGGGCTAAATATAACTTCTGGAAGGTCACGTCTACTTCTGTTAATATTGTTATAGAGATTTACATGCTTACTTTAGCTAATATATCGAAGTCTGGATTCAGGAAATATGTATAAGGCTTCTATATTTATTGAAAATGAACCCAAATCCCCCCATCATTCACTTTGGTTCTGGCAGATAACAAAGAACTAAAAGCTAAAGCAAACATCTGATTGTAAAGAAATCAATCAAACGAAAACCACTTAAATTCCATAAATTCCTAAAGTTGATATACACAATATAGATTCAGAATATTACCTCAGTCTCCTTCTGAAGTGGAAAGCAAACATAAAAAAATCAGAGAGTTTATGCATGAAGTTATGCAATCTTTTATACATAGGTTCATAGCAAACAGAAAATATATATTAAAAAAAAAAATCAGAGAGTTTATGTATGAAGTTAGTTTACCAGTGACATCAAATTTAACCAAAAAGGAAGCTTACATGGCTTGGAGGGATGTGTTTGCCACTGAGAAGGTCAAGCAAAAGCGTTCCAAAACTATATATGACGCCCTCCGGAGGTATTCTTCCTACAGAAGTTTCAAAAACCAACTGGATGATAGTCCAACAAGAAAACATAGATATGGTTTATATGGTAAAATCCACAAATCATTACCAAGGCCCACAATAAATATTACTAGATTGTATTACAACAAGGATAGGGAACATATATTATAATATAAGCATGTCATAATCCCATCCGCCATAGAAGCTAGCTCAACCTCATTAAGACAAGGCTTTGTTCCCAATTTTTGAACCTTCACCTCGGCATTCTGTCGAACAGTTTCCAGGCAGTCAGAACCAGCATGTTTTCCACTCTGTTTGGTATTTAGTTGCTCACCAGCCTCCACAACCATGTCCTTCATAGCAACCTTAGGAGGCTGTTTGGGCTTAAGTATCTCAAGGTTTCTCCCAGAATTTCCTTTCAAAGGAGTCACAACCTTCCCCGATTTATTTCCAGCTTTAGAAGGCCCAGGGGCCATTCTTCTACAAGACTTTAGGCGACGTCACTGTCCGAGGCAACGGCACTGTCCGAGGCGATGCGGTGTTGGACGCGGCGAGACCACGGTCGGCGGAGAGCACTGGGCAGCGACCACTTTGACTGCGGAGATGGCGGTGTCTGAGAAGAATGGTGGTCGGTGGGGAGCACTGGGTTTACAAAGAGGGAATGTCTGAGGAGAATGGAGAATGGCGGTCGGTGGAGAGCACTGGGTTTGCAAAGAGGGAATGTCTGAGGAGAATGGCCGGCGGAAATTTTGTTTGACGGGGAAATTTTGCCCGCTAAGTGTTCTCACTGAAAATTTGTAGAGGGAAACAATTGAAGAAATTATTTTGATTTTGTAAAGAGGGAAATAACATAACATATATCATATACTATGTACTAATATAATTAAAAAAATAACGAATTTTTATTTTAATTTTATAATAAGCTTTATTTTTTCAAAATTAAATAAGTATATTCATGGTTTTATAGGGATCGGATCTACTATAAACCGGGCGATATAGATATAGAACAAGGTAAGAAAATATTAGCTTTATTACCGGGGTCGCTAGACCCAAAATAGTACCGACGGCTATATAGGTACAGAACGCGAGATTAATAGATTTCTATACTATAGATTCATAAAAATTTTACTTTAGATTCATAATTTCTAAATCGTAGATTCATAATTTAAATATAGTAGATTCATAATTTAAATACAGTAGATTCATAATTTCTATAATGCAGATTCATAATTTATGTATTGTTGATTCATAATTTCTAAATTGTATAGTTATCAAATTATGAACATATATAGTTTTGTGATTTGTGAATACAGAGTTCAACAATTGGGAATATGAACATCGAAAATTATGAACATAGAGTTCTGTAATTGTGAATATATATAGAGTTCAATCATTATGAATATGAATTTCAAAAATTATGAATATATAGTTCGGTAATTATGAACATGAAACAGTGTGCACCATGCATGGTGCACACGGTTGCACAACATAATTTGCCCTTTATTACCCGGAGGTTTATTACCCAAACAGCTGGCGGCCCAATTATTACAAAGATTGCAGCAAAAGAAATGGGCTATAGCTAACTGTACGATATCAACTACTCTTTCATATCCATTCTCCGCGTGTCCCATGCATGCCGGAAGAGTCGATTACCAACATATAGCTAACCTTGTTAGTCATGCGCTAGCCGGAATGGTCGATTACCAACCCCGGCCCCTATTATACCGCCCTTAACCCCTACACATCATACCGCACCATTATGAACACCACCCCATATTGTTTTTTATACTTGATAATTATTATTATTTTTTTGAATTCATAAATTGGTCTTAATTGTAATATAATTGAAAATAAAACTTTAATGAATTTACTTTGAAATTTTGGTGAATAATTTTATATTTAAATATGAACGAAAATAGAACTATTAAATTAACTTTTGAATTGTATTCTTTCTTTGTTAAATTATAGGTAAAAGATAAGGTGTAACACTTTAATAAACAAGAGTTGGTGTGGCTTGGTGGATTTAGCTTTATTTGTTATGTTAAAGGTCTTGGGTTCTATCCTTTGTGGTGATATTCTTAACCTATTTTATACAATCATTGTCTTGGTCCTCAAAGACAACACATAAGCAAACTGGTAATATACTAGATGTTGCGCTTAAGTACACAAGTGTTGGTGTGGCTTAGTGGTTTTAGCTTAGTTTATTATGTTAGAGGTTTTAGGTTCTATTCTTCCTGGGGGAATTCTTCAACAATTTTCTAAAATTGTTGTCTTGGTTTTCACAAACAACACAGAAGAAACCCAGTTATATACCAGATGTTGCACCTTTAGACATAAGAGTTTGTGTTGCTTAGTTGGTTAGATTGCTTACTTGTTAAGTTTGAGGTTATAGGTTCAACTTTTGTTGTTAACATCCTTGTTTTTATTTTATATACCTGTTAAATAATGATGCGCAAAGACAACGGTTTTTTAAAACCGTTGTCTTTGTAGTGTTGTGTATTCAAATACGCTTAAAGACAACATACCAAAGACAACGGTTAAATAAAACCATTGTTTTAAACAAATAAAGAATGCGCAACGACAACGGTTATATAAAATCGTTGTCGTTTTAGTGTTGTGTATTCGAGTGCGCTTAACGACAACACACCAACAACAACGGTTAAATAAAACCGTTGTCTTTTTTTTTTTTTAAAGAAAAGAGCGCACAAAGACAACGGTTTTAAACAACCGTTGTCTTTCTAGTGTTGTGTATTCCAGTGCGCTTAAAGACAACACACCAACGACAACAGTTAAAAAAACCGTTGTCTTATTTAAAAAAAAAACGCACATAGACAACGATTTTAAAAAACCGTTGTCGTTGTGGTGTTGTCTTTTCACAAAATGCACAAAGACAACACACTTATAACAACGGTTAAGTAAAAACCGTTGTCTTTGACAAAAATGTTGCATCAAAGACAACGGTTTTGGACCAAACTGTTGTCTTTTATACAAAAGACAACACTTTTCTTAAAAACTGTTGTCTTTCTAGTGTTGTCTATGTGCATTTTTCTTGTAGTGAAGTATTTAGGAAAAGAGATCGATCAAGGTGCAATCTCGACAGTGACAGTGTGAGAATTATGTTCAAAGTGAATAAATTCTTTGTGTGTATCGACATTTGACTATTAAGTTACTGTGATTTACATTATCCCAAATATTTTGTCCAATCGGAGTGTGAGGTGCTCTTAAAATTGGAGATTCAATCTTTTGGGAGAAGCATTTGACCCGTTCATGGGTTATTCCTTTAAACATAAATTCAATAGAAAATTTATTAGTACTTTCGCTAATGTGTATGAATGGTGACAGGATAATAGGGCTGATATCCGACCCGGATTATAAGTGGGCATCTGACCCGGCATCACATGGGAACCCAACGGACAAAACTCCAATGGTTAGGAGTTCCAACAGGTGCCACCTTTACTGTCATTGAAGCCAGCATTGAAGCCACCATTGATGAGAGAGAATTAAAGGCTTAGGCTCCCCATTTATGTCCCATGTTGTTACCGTTAGGACTCTAGTATAAATGGGGCTATCCTTAGCTAGCAAAGGCGACGTTCAGTACTCGGGACAAAGACACACTGTACTTTCTATACTAAGACACTAAGGCAATACAACTATTGTTATTCTCTCACATAACGTTATTATAATATTATTATTACCGGTAACATTATTACCGTCATTGGTGCTTTCATTGAGAGCCTGAGTCCAATACTCAAGCAGGCTACGACACACACAACTCATTCCTCTTTCAACATCAAGTTTGAAAGAATGGTGTCCCGCAGCTCCCATGGTTCCCGCAACGTGAACAATGACAATGCCTCAGGTGACCTCCGGGACCAACTCACCAACAATCGCGGAGGGGACCTCCGAGAACAGCTCAACAACGGGAGACCCGGGGACCTTCGAGACCAACTCAATAATGGAGGGGACCTCCGAGACCGACTCAACAATGGAGGGGCGAACCAAGTCATGAACCTCTAGGTGACCATTCAGCAAGCAGTGACGGCGGCACTAAATCAGGTGGCAGTGGGAGTCCAAGGCCAAGTAGTCCCGCCACGACCTCAGGAAATAGAGGTAGAATCCCCACGGAGGGCGGATGCCCAGGACGCAACCCGTGCAGCGAGGGACGCAGGGCGTCGCACCAGGACAGGGGGTCCAGGAGAGGGCACCCAAAGAAGCGGTCCGGCCAGACGGCAACCTGGACCCTCCCGCTCTGCCCTGGAACGGTTGGGACACGGGGCGCCCGCTCGGCAAAGGCCAGAATCACGTGCCGAGGGGTCCTCCGCTAGAGGCCCTCGCCGACACGAGGAAAGAGAAGCGGAAAGGTCGCCCATAGAAAGGATGGGCGAGTCTCGTGGGCCAGCCCCGCGCTGGCATGGCGACGAGTCGGCCCTGCGTTGACACTCGGATGAGCGACGCTTCGATGAACCGGCCCCGCGTCGGCACTCGGCGGAGCGACGCGTCGATGAGCCGGTCCCGCGTCGGCACTCAGCGGGCGAGCGACGCGTTGATGAGCGGGTTCCACACCGACACTTGGGTGGACGAAACGTCGAGGAACCAGCTCCGCGTCGACACTCAGATGGACGGAAAGTCGATGAACTAGCCTCACGCCGACACATGGAATAGCGGCAGCCGGCCCCGCGCCGGCACCTTGACGAGTCGAGCCTAGTCGAGAGGCTACAAAGAAGAATCGAGGAGTTAGCAAGAAGGGTGGAGGCACGGGAGCAGTCGCCGGAACCCGAGGTACGGATGGCAGCACCGTTCTCCTCAAGCATCATGGACGTACCTCTGCTGAGGGACTTCAGGTTACCCGCCATCAAGGCGTACACGGGAGCCACTGACCCACGTGTCCACATGACGAGGTACAAGGCTGCTATGGTAATGATCGGGGCAGGGGACGCCATCATGTGCCGAGCGTTCTTGTCCACCCTGGATGGAGCGGCCCAAGACTGGTTCAACACCATCCCGGACGGGTCGATCCAAAGCTTTGGGGAGTTGTCCAAAAGCTTCCTGACATACTTCTCTAGTAGCATACAGCGTAAGAAACCCTTCTCTCATCTCTGTGTAGTAAAGCAAGATAGAGGCGAGAGCCTCAAAGACTTCCTGATCAAATGGAAAAAGGAAGTCAATAATGTCTATGACTTCGACTCCAAGGCGGCGATCCCGATATTCATCCATGCCTTGAGATCGGGGTATTTTCACAAGCAGCTGAATGCCCACCACCCCCATTCTTACGAAGATCTGATGAGGACGGCTAGCCGCTATGCCGAAGCGGAGGACATCGACAGGAAGAAGAAAGATGAGGAAGACGGTAGGAAAAACGGGAAACCTGGGAAAGCTGGTCCGCCCAGCCAGGCACCACGTTCGAACCACCCGGCCGCAGGGAAAGGCCGGGACCACGAACGGCCTCGCCTGGTTCCCTTGCGTAACCTAACTCCTCTTACCCATCCCGTCAGTGTCATCCTAAAACAGGCTGAGGAGATGGGAATAGTCGAGTTCCCACCAGAGTGCATGAAGGTCTCCCCAAAAGGAGACCAAGCAAAGTACTGCAGGTTCCATAGGCAACCCGGGCATGACACGTATGAATGTAACGTGCTGAAGAGGCAAATAGAAGAACTCATCCAGCAGGGCTACTTCCGACATTTTGTCAAGCGATCCAAGCAGAAACAACAGCCGCAACACAATCCATAAAAAAATCCACCAAAAAATGTCTGGAGGAAGGAGGATGGCGCCGAGCCGTCCACCTCGAACGCCTAGAAAAGAGAACATGA